GGTAAATAGTCCAGCCTTGATGGAATAACATGGAAAAAAATCCAGCCTAATTCCAGCATCCCTGAATGTTCTTAAAATTCTCTGACGGAATTCAGCACAGGAATATTTGGGGTGGAATTTTTATAAGTTTAACATGATCACATATTTCTTTCACAAAATTTAATACATATCCTTTAGTCCAAATACAGAATAGAACATTCTACATTCACTATAGCACAAACAGTTTTTTTTTTCCTAGCTGCAGGTTTGGTAGCTAGGTTCTGGTTGTCTTATAAATTTTAGCAATTATTTTGCTCTTAATCTGTCAATGAGAAACTGTTTTAATCTTAAATTTGTTTCAAGTGTTTCTGATTATTTAAATTACTATTTCTTTTATTGATGTCCATTTTCAGTCCTCTGCCTGTGTTTCCTAGAACTTCTTGTGGTTGTGCTCACCTTTAAAGATAAAATTCATAATTAATTTAACACAGATGTGGTAATGACTTATGTTTTATTGCATATAAATATTATGCAGTTATATTTCGTATCTTTTAATAACATCAAATCTAATGTTTCAAATGTATTAACTATTAAATATTAACTATGCTTATGCATATTCAAAAATACTAAAGCAATGCAGTATATCTTATTTCAAAGTGCACAAGTGTTTAAGAATTTCTCTGTACATGTATAAGAATTAAGTAAATTTGTGACAATATTTATCACCCAGTATGTATTTTTTCAAGAAAAGACATGGAATAAAAAAGTACACGTATTGAGATTTAAAAATATACCTTTTCAGGATTAATACTGCACATCATTATTAAACACTGTTGGTAATTCTCACAGTCAACACTTATGTCCCAGCCTGCAAGTTATGTAATTGTATAATGTAAAATGTTATTTTAGATTGTTACATTGAAAACACAACACATACATGTAAATATAACAAATGAATATGATGACCCTGTTCAGCTGTACAAAACTACTGATTGTACCATTTAGTCCTATTTAATCAAATTCACTGATTTAATTTGTTTTATTTGTAGGAAATGAAAAAGATCTACTAACAATTGTCATTTTAACAATATACATTATAAAGAAATCATTGAATAATTTATATTTTACATATTATACATGTATAGATTAAAAACAATTATCAGAAAAAACAAATGCATGAAGTTGAAAATATAAAAACAACCTTGATCTCTATAATTGTTACAAATGTTAATAGTTTGATATATAACCTGTTTCTGCATTGATGTAACTTAAGGTTTATAAATACCTGATTCTGTTGTATATCTCTTTGTCCCAGGTGATTCTAATTGTTATCATACCAATACATGTACTTAAACACTTTAAAGTCTTAAACAAAACAATATCTCCAAAACTGCTATAATATCAAGTACATCCTCTGTAATATGCACTCTTTCTGACCCAGATATCTTAGAATTCAAAATTTACAACAGTTACTGGACAGGTCTATCATTATGTAAAGCAGGGTTAATCTGCTCATCATTTTAACTTTTATTCTTTGAGCTTAAAAGAAAATATCAAATAGCTAATAGATATATAGATTTTAAAGATCATTACAAATTTTTGTACAAAAAAAGATTGCAATTAGTCCTTCTAGAACACATTCTTCATATGAAATTAATATAATGTTATCTCTCCCCAAAATAATCACATGGAACAGCCTGATCTGAAATGACCAGTGGAGTAAATTAGTCATGCACAGATGGTTAGAAAATGCTGGTCAATGAGTTTTATCAGAGCTCTGATCTGTGTAGCGTAAAATCTCCGTGGATGTAGTATTTATTTTCCTACATATTCTGGTCAATTTAATATAGAATATATATGAGATTCTTTCATGCACTGTTATTGTTTTGTTTATTTATTTATTGTTATCCAAAAACATGAATTCTTACAATTTAAAAATGGCAAGCAATGCAATCCCATCTTGATTATTATAGTGTCTGAATGATTTAATCACAGACTTTAATTAATTTATAGTTAAACTTAAAGCCTGTAATTAAATGGATATTATTTCATTGTACATAACTTCATGTAGATTTATTTAAATAATAATATGTATTTTGAACAATCAATTCATTAATTTTATGTCTTTAGCATTATAAGACATTTTTTCTGAGATACCCTTTTTCAACTACATAAAAAGTATAAAGTGTCAAATTTCAAATCATTTACAGTAACTTGCATTAAAATAAATGATGATTGTATATTTTCTTCGTAAATTTACAATATTGTGCTGAATATATAAAGTAAGATTTCTTGTAATTTTTACAAGTTTTTTCCAGCATACTTAGAGAAAGTTTAACACATTTCCAGCATCAAAAAAATCTAAGTTCCACTTTCCATGCTACATGGAAGTAAAGTCCATGGTTTTCCAGGCTTTAACCACAAATGTCCAGCCAATTTCCAGCCTATTCCAGCAATGCTGGAAATGGCTGGACAAAAAAGTCCACATAGCATGGAAAAAATACCAATTTTCCATGAATTTCCATGAAATTCCATGCTTTTCCATAGTTTTCCAGGGTTTACCAGCCTCTGTTCCAGGCTTACCCTGGAAAATCTACACCCGGGTAAGTTCAATTCAGGAACAGCTTAAAGTTTAATAATTGACTATTCCATATTCATAGCTGGGGTGAATCTTCTGTATTAATTACAGTAGTTTATATACAATATATTTCAGTTTGATTGTTTAGGAAACTATAAGCTTATAGATGCATTTTAGAATCTGTTCCTCACTGGAACCAACCAATACTAAGCAATGAGTGTAAAGTTGCTTGCTCAAGGCTTGATCCTGGTTTGAACCCATGCATCCAACAATACCTAGATAACTTAACCTTTAACCGCATTATAGGCAGTTTAGATGGCTTTTCACACCCCCCCCCCTTTTGAGGCCTCAAATAGTGGAAAAAAAAGCCCTTATAATGTAGGCCCCAAACACTGTTCTGAGAAATGTTGAAAAAAGTGATCACTTTTTTGGCGGCGCCGCTCCCTGTCAGTAAGGTACATCAAGGGAGTGGCAGAGGGGGGTGTGCCCCCTTCTGTTTGTGGGTTTGAAGTCCCCCTTATTGCCAAGAAAATTTTGGACTTTTGACGCTGAAAAACCTCTGACTCTATCCTAATCCATTGAGATGCAGCACTTTGAAATTAGTTATGATGGAAAAAAACAACACAAAATAGGGATTTTGAGACATGCCATTACAAAGGCTATGACCAAGTCATCATTTGTGCAGAGTTTGATCAGTATTGAAGCATTTTTTATAGTTTCATAGCAGTTTGAACTTGCAACAGGAGGCTTTTCAATGAAAACGGCCATTTTTCACAATATGCTATTGCAGTAAAGGGTTAATACTGACATGTAAAAATTTTGGCTAGTACACCACCTTATTAATGAAAGTCACTAGAGCTGTCTTTGAATATCAAGATATCATAATATCCACAATTTGATTTAATATTGTTTTTCAATTTTGAATATCAATACAAATTAAAATCCGTCTTTTCCTGTCCAGTGAAAATATTTCTCTGTTTTTCAGAGACGGAAGTCATTTATCTACCATTTTTGTGGCTATCTTGAACCACTAATAATTTAATTTTCCGTGGTCAGTGAGAAATTATAAAAAATATCATACTTTCTTCCAGTATTTTATATTTGTGATGACTTTAACAATCGTGCATAACACCATGATAACAGTTTATAATATAACATATCTAAATGTATTTACACTGGAATGGCCTTTTTAATTTGATATATCGATAAATTGTTGATATATAATTCAACTTTCATTATACAAGTATGAATGTTACGTCACTGCCGATTATAATGTTCTATTCTATAATATGAAGGCTCACAGTGGACCAAATGTATATAATAGATTATTTAAAAAAATACTGTGCTGTCTATTCTATCCAGTTGATATATACTGTGGTCCTACATATTTCACCGGACAATCAGTTTACCGGACAAAAGCTATTACTGCTGTATAGTGCTTTACGTTTTGCTTCGATTCAAAAGTCATACATTCTGAATTGTACACACACTTTCTATTTAAAAGTAAATAACAACAAAACCACTCTCAGGTAAATATTGTTGATTCAGTTCTTTATCTACTAAAATGCCCTTTTGTTTACTAGTTATTTTATGACCTGATCATGCGGGGGGGAATAATCTGTTCTGCGCAGAGACCCTTAACGTTTTTATTAGATATGTTATACTTTTAATTCTTTTCCACGTTACCTCAGGAGACAATCGTAACATGATTTAATGATAAAAGTAATTTTAAATTTAGTCTTAGCTGTCTTTTACAAAGCAGTGCAAATTAAATAACATATAAGGAAACGGGTTACGCCAATGGGAGGAAACTTTACATGAAATGTAAATAAAACTGATTTTATGGCTTTTGTAACATGTTATATGATGACCAAAAGGAAACTGTATGACAAAGAACAGAAGAACAGAATTCCATTTGAATATTTAAATGTTTCATACGTTTAAGGATCAAAAAAGATCAATACGTTAATTGAGTTAATAATTTTAATTTCAATTACACCCTATAATTATATTGGCCTCTTCATAACAGGCATGGCTGCCGTGTCTATTTCTAGTGACATACTGGGTTTTTCAATTATCTTAACCTAGTGGTAGTTTCCTTGCTGGTTATTTAAGAATTAATTTCAATTCACGACTTCAAAACATTTTGAAACACAATGTCCGGTAAATTGAGTTGTTTACACGATTTTTTCCCTCTTATAATGACCTACTTTAAAGACAAATTTCTACGATCAAATGTTTAATTTCATGTTTGATAAAGGAATGTTTATGTGCAATAAAAACCCAAAATTATTTGGGTAAAATTCCATTCTTTTTTATTATTTGAAATAAAAGTTACAGATAAAAAACTTCATATTTTGTCCGGTAATATGTAGGACCCCAGTATCGTTAAAAATTTTCCATTAAAATGACAGCCCTAAAATTATTATGTATTATATTACAGTTACTCTTGAAGCTACTGGAGGTAACATATTTAAAGGCTTTATGATACAAGCAAGACCAAGCAAGGATATGTACACCACATATGGATCAATACCTTCACTTCCTACTGGTACAAAGAATCCATGCGTAGATAAAGGTTCCGGCAAGGTAAGACGTCAGAGTTGGTTTAGAAGATAAAGGTTAAGCCGTTGTGATGGCTGCATCATCATTGTTTCCATCATTGTCATTGTTGCCATGCAACACTTTTATATAGCCATTTATCAAACATTTTAAGAAATTTGGTATACTTTTTTTTCACAACAAAGTGCAGTTGTAAGACAAGAAGTATTATTCTGGAAGCTCTATTTTTGGAGTTATGCCCCATTTTAACTTAGATTTTTTTGTTTAAAAGTAGCTTATGAAGTATAATAATTTTAAAACTATAAATGGTATCAACGTGTAACTTGGAATACTTGTTAACAATCATTAAGCACAAAGCACAAGGCGCATCATTCTGAAAGCTAAAGTTTGCAGTTATGTTCCCTTTGCTTATTATGTCTATCAAAATATTTTGGGAGACATATTTTTGTTGCCTTTGCTGTGTGTCCATCCGCATTTAGCTTGTCTGCCCTTCACAAGTCAAACTACCGGTAGGAATTCAACCAAACTTTACAGGAGTGATCTGTACTATCCCTAGTTGTGCTCATCACCGACACGTTCCTCTTCGCTCCACAAAATGGCTGCCTGAGAGCTAAAAATAGAAAAATATTGTCTGGCCTTAACAGGTCAAACTACTGGTGGGATTTCAACCAAACTTTACAGGATCAGTACCATCCCTAGTTGTGCACATCACCCGCACATTCCGCTTTGCTGCATAAAATGGCCATCAGAGCTAAATCTTGTCCGACTTTCACAGGTCAAGCTACTAGCTGGTGGGATTTCAATGAAACTTTACATGGGTGACCATACATAGTTTTGGGAGACATATGTTTTTGTGACAAAAACCCTTCTTAGTTAAGTATAATGATTTTAAATTATAAAAGTACCAGCATGTAACTTGGAATACTTGTTAATCATGATAAAGAACAGATTTAAAACAAGGGACATTATACTGAAAGCTAGCATTTGGAGTTATGCTCTCTTTTCACCTAGGAATATTTATAAAAGTTGGTTTCCCTCAACAGCCGAGCATTGACAGTGCAAGCCATAATCTAATGATCATCTATTGATAATATTTCGTGTTTTTTCTAAACCTAATGCCTGGTATAGAAATTTATTAACACTTACTCTGCCCAAATTTTGTGTAATAGATTAACCCTGTTTTTCATTTGGTACAGTTTGTTTGAAAGTTTAGGGAATTCAATATCAAAATACAAAAATTCACCTGTTATCAACAGTCAGACTGCATGTATGTTCAATATATCATGGTGGCAAACTTGCTAATAGCTTTTGTTATCAACAGGTTAAGGGTTAAATGTATTTTTTGTTATATGTATTTATCATACACCCATGCCGATTTTGCAACTCCGTAAATATGGTATTGCACAGCCATGCATATATTTTGCTGTGACGTCATTAGCGTTATACAAACATAGTTAAAGACGTGCTAAATATTAGTGTTATACTATAGGCACGTCAATGAAAAGTGACTCTTATTTCACTTTAAACCATCATTATTTTTGGTATGTGATAAATAGAATATTAAATTCGTGTAAGTTCATTAATGAATTTATTGCACTCGTTGAAGAAAATAATATTATGCTCGCCAGAGGCTCGCATAATATAATTTTATTCAACTTGTGCAATAAATTCAGTATTGAACTTACACTCATTCAATATCCTCTATGTAAAAAGCAGAGATTAATAGAATTGTTATCCGAAGCAAAGGCTGGTTTTTCCCAACTTAAATCTGTAGGTACAAACTTTAAATGTTATTGCTTCATGTTGTACTTCCCATCACAATGGATTAGTCAACCTGTTGCGCTTATTTTCTAAGCTGTAACTGTAAAATTTGTTAAATTTGTTGCTGAGGTCATTGGCAGGAAAAAATCCAAATATTCTTAATTCTGTAGTTAGTCTATTTGTAATCATTTTACCCATACATCTTTATTCACAAACTTTTCAATCCTATTAAAGTCAGATAATCGTTTTTGCTCCATTACTTTACCCTTTAATCTAACTAGAGAAAGTTAGTTGAGCGTCAGTTTACTTAGGATATGATTTTAAAGGGACTCCACTGAGGTGTAAAAACCTAAAAACATAACATTTGAATTTCTTACATGAATGAGCTGGGGCACTTTAAATAAAAAAAAAAGCAAAGATAGTTAAGAAAATTTTGTATACTTTAAATATTTTCATTTTGGGTCATTTTTTACAATTTGAATAATTATTCTGGAAAAAAACAAAGTGTGCGAATAATCTGAAATTTTGCACAAAGGACATTTATCTGGAAAAAATATTTTCAGTTCCATCATGTCAAAAAAACTCAGTGGAGTCCCTTTAATGAGATTGCAAAAACTTTCAAATAAAATTTCATTAATACATTTGTATATTAATTTCAATTTTAGATTTAAAAGCCAGTGTTTTTGAAAATTGATACTATAGTTCATTTTGTTTTGCTTTTTTGCTTGAGTATTTTACATGTGACTGTAAGCATAGTAGATATATAGTAGATAAATAAATGTTTCTTTTTTTCTTTTTTTTTTCAGAATGTTGTTATATCACATGGTGAACCCTCTGATAAAACTAAAGTAACATTTACTTGGAAGGCTCCACTTGCAGATGTTGGAGACATTGTGTTTGTGTAAGTGCTTCAACTCATACCCTCCTGAATTTCTGTAATTATGATGTTAAACTTACAGCAAATTAAAAGGCACATTATGCCTCAGAAACAATCAAATTATTTGTAACTATAAAGATGAAACTTCAGTTCTGAGTATGATTCTTTTTAAAGTTATATTATTTTTAGTAACTTAAAATCAAATACTATTATCAGGTTTTCTGTTGTGCAAGCCAAAGCAATATACTGGGTGAAGGGTGTAGCAGGACAGGTGTTGAAATATAAAGCAAAACCAACAAATTCCCCAACTGATGCTTCGACTGATGCCTCGACTGCCTCATCCAGTAGCAAAGCTACAACTACACAATCACAAACAACTGGTCAGGTACGCTAAAGTAAAACATTGTTATGATGTCCATGTAACAGACTTGCCAAATTGCTTGAAGTTTAGAATTTTCTTTTGAAAATATGTTTATCCTTTCCCTGCGGAAAGGAAGTGTAACTCTACATTGCAATATTTTTTAGTTTTTGTCCTTTTTTTTCATTTTTACACTTTGAACATTATCTGGGACATACCTGTGAAACCACAAGAGCAAAACTATCTTTTGATATCCTGAAACAGTTAATGTTAAAAGTAAAATGCTACAAATTTGATGTGCACAATCTGAAGGTATATAGTTGTATAGATATATCAAGTTCTTGATTTATTGAGCATGAAACATTTGTCTGGATAATTAAGTATACATTTTATACAGTAATTTTATATAGTTTATTTCACTTACCGGTAATAGGCATAATTATAAGTTCATCTTAGGAAATTTTCAATTATGAACTAGAAAATTATGTCCAAAAAAAATAAAATTCCTTTTAATTTGTAGATAGATATTTGCAGTTTTTATGCCATAATGTTCATGTCTGAAGATTTTGTTACATATTTTATTTTTAAAGTATAAATTTTAAGACAATTTTAAACTGCTCTAGTCAGAATGACGGCATGGCTGAGTCAGGTTAACTTGTTGGACTAGTATCTAAGGATTGCTGCCTGTGTGGGTTCGAACCCTGTCTGGAGTAAGTTGTTGTTTCTGTGAGCAAGAAACTTTGAAATCATTGCTTAGTACTGGTTGGTTCAAGAGTGTTTAATAAGCTTATAGCTTCCAACACATTGTCAATAAAACTTAAATAAATGAGCATTAACTAAACTAAAAGCTTCAGAGAGATATTAGTTTTGAAATACTGAATCAAGTAGTCAGGGGGGTTCTACAGGGGGTTCTACACTGGAGGCAAATATTGTTCTAGTTTTTAGCTCACCTGTCACAAAGTGACAGGGTGAGCTTTTGTGCGCAGGGTGAGCTTTTCGTCCCGCGTCCGTCCGGCGTCCGTCCGTCCGTAAACTTTTACTTTAAATGACATCTCCTCATAAACCACCAAGCCAATTTCATCCAAACTTCACAGGAATGTTCCTTTAGTGTCACCTTTAAAAATTGTTCAAAGAATTTAATTCCATGCAGAACTCTGGTTGCCATGGCAACCGAAAGAAAAAACTTTAAATATCTTCTTTTAAAAAACCCAAAGAGCTAGAGCTTTGATATTTGGCATGAAACATCTACTAGTGAGTGTCTACAAAGTTTGTTCAAATAAAAGCCCTTGGGTCAAAATTGGCCCCGCCCCAGGGGGTCATTGATTTTCCCTATATGCATATAGTAAAAACTTAAAAAATCTTCTTTTAAAGAACCAAAAGAGCTAGAGCTAAGATATTTAGCATGAAACATCTTCTAATGAGTGTCTACCAAGTTTGTTGTAATTAAAGCCCTGGGATCAAAATTGGCCCCGCCCTGGGGGTCATTCATTTTCCTTATATGTGTATAACACAAAAACTTAAAAAATCTTTGAAAAACTCAAATAGCTAGAGTTTAGATATTAAGCACGAAGCATCTTGTAGTGAGTGTCTACCAAGTTAGTTCAGATAAAAGCCCTGGGGTCAAAATTGGCCCTGCCCCGGTGACATTGATTTTCCTTATATGTGTATAGCAAAAACTTAAAAATCTTCTTTGAGAAAACCAGAATAGCTAGAGTTTAGATATTAAGCATGAAACATTTTCTAGTAAGTGTCTACAAAGATTGTTCAAATAAAAGCCCTTGGGTCAAAACTGGCCCTGCCCCAGGTGTGTCATTGTTTTTAACTATATGAATAAAGAAAAAACTTGACCAGCTAGACCTTAGATGTTTAGCATGAAACATCTTCTAATGGGTGTCTACCAAGTTTGTTCAAATAAAAACCCTGGGGTTTAAACTGGTCCCGCTCAGGGGGCCTATATACAGGTGAGCGACTTCAGGGCCATCATGGCTCTCTTGTTTCTGTGTTACATCATATTTAAGTTAATTTTTTAAATTTATTATCAGATTGACCGGGATCCAGACTGTGATATGACTATAGGCTGTTTCCCAGCATCAGCGATGTGTTCCACCAATTGCGATTACCTTGTGACATGGAAAACGTCAGGGATGAATGATGTAGAATTTACCTTAAAGAGAAAAACTACTTCAAATAATTACTGGATTGGAATAGGCTTCTCTGATGATGCTCAAATGGTTTGTATATTCACAAATAAAAACATATTTTAACCAATAAAGGCCCATTATGCTCCAGAAATGCTTTAACTTTTCTTTCTGAAAAGCTTTCTATTTTTGTTGTCCAATTGTTATAATTTCAAATAAGTTTCCCCTTGGCCAATTACCTGAACCATCTGTTGCTTCTTTGGCATTTTAGCAATTAGTTTTCTTACAGCAATTAAGTGTTTTGTATGGAAGTCAAAATACTAGTTTGTTTACATTGTTCTACTTTTATGACAAATAATTCCACATTTGTCACTTCTTTCATCAGGTAAAAAACAGCTTACATGCTCTCATATCATTATTTTAAATGTTATAAAACGTATGAATGCAGGCTTTTTCTAAAGGAGATACATTTCTGAGGCATAATGTTCCTTAAATGACTGTTACTCTGGATTTACTTTTAAAGCCTGCTGACAGATACATATTCTTCTAGTGACCCGTCTGTGCCTTTTGATCATGGTCTGCACTGTTTGCTATTATTATTCTATTTAAGATATTCAACGGTGTAACGGTTACTAAAAATCTCTTTTATTATGCTCCTTGTCCGTCTGTCCGTCCGCACTCACTGGAGAGTAATTATGTGGCTAGAGGGACAATAGGTTCTCTTTGATGTCATTCATTCCGTAATGCTTTTATGTGGCTATTTTCTTTTGCGTGGCTAAAAAGAACAATAGAGAGAACAATAGAGTAGCCACATAATTACTGTCCTGTGAGAACTTCCGTCCGTCTGTCCGTCCGTTTTCTTGTCCGGAGCATAACTTGAAAACCCTTGGAGATAATTTGTTTAAACTTCATACAGTGGTAGAGGGCATTGAGGGGGAGTGCAGTGTCAAAGAACCATAACTCTATTTTGCCCGGTTTTTGAATTATCTCCCTTTATAGAAAAATCTTGTCCGGGGCATAACTCTAAAACTATAAGAGATATCAATATGAAACTTTGTAGGTGAATAGATCTCAATGGGTAGATGTGCAGTGCGTAAGAACAATAACTCTTTTTGTCCTAATTTTGGAGTTATTGCCCTATGTTAATTTCAACACTTTGAACTTTGTCCGGAACATAACTCTAAAACTATAAGAGATATCAAGATGAAACATTGTAGGTAGATAGATCTCATTGAGTAGATGTGCAGTGCAAAAGAACCATAACTCTGTTAAGCGTCATTTTTTAATTATCTCCCCTTATAGAAAAATCTTGTCCGGGGCATAACTCTAAAACTATAAGAGATATCAACATGAAACTTTGTAGGTAAATAGATCTCAGTGGGTAGATGTGCAGTGTCAAAGAACCATAACTCCATTTTGCCCGGTTTTTGAATTATCTCCCCTTATAGAAAAATCTTGTCTGGGGCATAACTCTAAAACTATAAGAGATATCAACATGAAATTTTGTACGTGAATAGATCTCAATGGGTAGATGTGCAGTACATAAGAACAATAACTCTTTTTGTCCTAATTTTGGAGTTATTGCCCTTTGTTAATTAACACTTTGAACTTTGTCCGGAACATAACTCTAAAACTATAAGAGATATCAAGATGAAACATTGTAGGTAGATAGATCTCATTGAGTAGATGTGCAGTGCAAAAGAACCTAACTCTGTTTAGCGTCATTTTTTAATTATCTCCCCTTATAGAAAAATCTTGTCCGGGGCATAACTCTAAAACTATAAGAGATATCAACATGAAACTTTGTAGGTGAATAGATCTCAGTGGGTAGATGTGCAGTGTCAAAGAACCATAACTCCATTTTGCCCGGTTTTTGAATTATCTCCCTTTATAGAAAAATCTTGTCCGGGCCATAACTCTAAATATAAGAGATATCAACATGAAACTTTGTAGGTGAATAGATCTCAATGGGTAGATGTGCAGTGCATAAGAACAATAACTCTTTTTGTCCTAATTTTGGTGTTATTGCCCTTTGTTAATTTCAACACTTTGAACTTTGTCCGGAACATAACTCTAAAACTATAAGAGATATCAAGATGAAACATTGTAGGTAGATAGATCTCATTGAGTAGAAGTGCAGTGCAAAAGAACCATAACTCTGTTAAGCCTCATTTTTGAATTATCTCCCCTTATAGAAAAATCTTGTCCGGGGCATAACTCTAAAACTATAAGAGATATCAACATGAAACTTTGTAGGTGAATAGATCTCAATGGGTAGATGTGCAGTGCATAGGAACAATAACTCTTTTTGTCCTAATTTTGGAGTTATTGCCCTAGTTAATTTTAACAGTGAACTTTGTCCGGAACATTACTCTAAAATTATAAGAGATATCAAGATGAAACATTGTAGGTAGATAGATCTCATTGAGTAGAAGTGCAGTGCAAAAAAACATAACTCTGTTAAGCCTCATTTTTGAATTATCTCCCCTTAAAGAAAAATCTTGTACTGGACATAGCTGTAAAACTACAAGAGATATCAACATGAAACTTTCTAGGTAGATGTATCTCAATGGGTAGATGTGCAGTGCACGAGAATCATAACTTTTCTTTTTTTCTAATTCTGGAGTTATTGCCCTTTGTTTATTTTTACTTTTTGAAGTTGTCCGGAACATAACTCGGAAACCATAAGAGATATCAACAAGAAACTTTGTAAGTTGATAGATAACAGTGATTAGAAGTGCAGTGCAAAGAACAGTAACTCTGCCTTTCCTAATTTTGGAATTATTGCACTTCGAACTTTTTCCAGGGACATAACTCTGAAACTACAAGAGGTGTACTTTCCTGTGTCCAAAACCTATTCGGGGAGCATCACCCGGCTCTTGTTTTGCTTAACGGACAAAGTGCTTTGAATTTGAAACTGTCCAGTGTTAATTTCAGGTAATTTGTAGATCAAAGGAACAAAATTAAGGTGTAAGCAGTAATTGGTGTGGTCATTCTGACTTCAAGGAGTTTGATATACAGTAGTCTTTATGAAGTTTACAGATCTGGTCCTTTATTATATGTTAATAAATAAGTGATTTGATATTGGCCCTGTTATTTGTCAGAGGGCAGTCATATTGGCCTAAGGCCGAAGGCTGAGGGCCTGAAATACGACTGACCCGAAGACAAATAACAGGGCCAATATCAAATCACTTATTTATTGACAATTTTTGTGTCGCCTCTACGGAGTAGTGGCGACATATAGGGATCACTTCTCCATCGTCTGTCTGTCCGTCTGTCTGTCCGTCTGTCCATCACAAAACTTATCCGGACTTCTCCTCATAAACTACTGGTGCAATTTCATCCAAACTTTACAGGAATGATCAGTATCAAGTCTAGTTGTGCATATTGTCAGGATTTTCCGGTTCAATGATTTTTGACAGAGTTATGGCCCTTTAATAATTTTTATTTTTAAAGTTTGTCCGGACTACCTCTCTTATACCACTAGTGCAATTTCAATGAAACTTTACAGGATTGATCTGTAGCTCAAGTCCTTGCACATATTGCACAGGTTTTCCAGTTGAATGATTTTTGGCCGAGTTATGGCCCTTTGATAAAAAGGTGTTTTTTTCTGTGTGTTGCCAGATACACAAAAGCTTGTCCGGACTACACCTCAAAAACTACTGCTGCAATTTAATCCAAATTTTACAGGAATGATCAGTACCAAGTCTAGTTGTGCATATTGTCAGCATTTTCCGGTTCAATGATTTTTGACAGAGTTATGGCCCTTTAATAATTTTTATTTTTAAAGTTTGTCCGGACTACCTCTCTTATACCACTAGTGCAATTTCAATGAAACTTTACAGGATTGATCTGTAGCTCAAGTCCTTGCGCATATTGCACAGGTTTTCCAGTTGAATGATTTTTGGCCGAGTTATGGCCCTTTGATAAAAAGGTGTTTTTTTCTGTGTGTTGCCAGATACACAAAAGCTTGTCCGGACTACTCCTCAAAAACTACTGGTGCAATTTCATCCAAACTTTACAGGAATGATCAGTACCAAGTCTAGTTGTGCATATTGTCAGCATTTTCCGGTTCAATGATTTTTGTCAGAGTTATGGCCCTTTAATAATTTTTATTTTTAAAGTTTGTCCGGACTACTTCTCTTATACCACTAATGCAATTTCAATGAAACTTTACAGGATTGATCTGTAGCTCAAGTCCTTGCGCATATTGCACAGGTTTTCCGGTTGAATGATTTTTGGCCGAGTTATGGCCCTTTGATAAAAAGGTGTTTTTTTCTGTGTGTTGCCAGATACACAAAAGCTTGTCTGGACTACTCCTCATAAACTACTGGTGCAATTTTATCCAAACTTTACAGGAATGATCAGTACCAAGTCTAGTTGTGCACTGTCCGTCTGTCTGTCCGTCTGTCACAAAACTTGTCCAATCATAAAATTGGCCATCATGAGGCGACATATGTGATTACTGATCGCTCTTGTATTAAATAACTACATGAACTTATAATATTTCACATTTTATCCTCGGATATTTATTCTTATTTTAATTCTAACATATTTTAATTATAACAAAGAACAACTGTAAAAAAAACCTACATTTTATCAGTTTGTATGGAAAACCTACATTTTGTAATTTATATTGTACATGAACAACAATTTAAATGTCAGATTGTGAGTGTTTAGAAACTGAGAATATTTTGTTTCATTTATGCAACCTGTCGGCGTCTACACATAGACCAAGTTAAAACAAAATGGCTGCCATTTCCCAGTTTCTTGCAGAAATCTAAATCATTATTTGGCCCTGCTTTATCAGCCAATCAAATTACTTCAAATGCTGGCTTTATATCTATATCACTTTTTAGCCCGGGGCCGAAAAATTGATATAGATATTGGCCATGTTTTAAGGCAGGCCATCGTGTTATTGGATGTGGCATGTGCTTTTTATATGCCCGAAAGGGCATATTATGTTATACCCCCTGGCGTCCGTCTGTCTGTCCGTCTGTCCGAGCAAACATTTGATATTTATGAGCTTCATTCCGTAGTTAAATAAAGAACAAAAGCTCATAAAATTCAAATTAAGAGCTATTTTTTTGATTTTATGAGCTGATTTTGCTTATGGACTTTGGTCCAGGTGTAGTTTATGAGCTGACTTACCTCTTAAATATCAAAAGTTGGTACGTCCGTCCGTACGTCCGTCCGTCCGTTAGCAATTTGGTTTCCGGAGCATAACTTAAGTTCCATTTGGCCCACAATGTTCAAACTTCATAGGATGATTGTCCATATTGGGTAGAAGACCCCTATTGATTTTGGGGTCAAAAGGTCAAAGGTCAAGGTCACTATGACCTTAAAACTGAAAACAGTTTCCGGAGCATAACTTAAGTTCCATTCGACCCACAATGTTCAAACTTCATAGGATTGTTGTCCATATTGAGTAGAAGTCCCCAATTGATTTTGGGGTCACAAGGTCAAAGGTCAAGGTCACTATTACCTTGATACTGAAAACAGTTTCCGGAGAATAACTTACGTTCCAATTGACCCACAATGTTCAAACTTCATAGGATGATTGTCCATATTGGGTAGAAGACCCCTTTTGATTTTGGGGTCAAAAAGTCAAAGGTCAAGGTCACTATGACCTTAAAACTGAAAACAGTTTCCGGAGCATAACTTAAGTTCCATTCGACCCACAATGTTCAAACTTCATAGGATGATTGTCCATATTGGGTAGAAGACCTCAATTGATTTTGGGGTCACAAGGTCAAAGGTCAAGGTCACTATTACCTTGATACTGAAAACAGTTTCTTGAGCATAACTTAAGTTCCAATTGACCCACAATGTTCAAACTTCATAGGATGATTGTCCATATTGGGTAGAAGACCCCTATTGATTTTGGGGTCACAAGGTCAAAGGTCAAGGACACTATAACCTTGATATTGGAAACAGTTTCTGGAGCATAACTTAAGTTTAATTTGGCCCACAGTGTTCAAACTTCATAGGACGATTGTCCACATTGGGTAGAAGACCCCTATTGATTTTGGGGTCAAAAGGTCAAGGGTCAAGGTTACTATATCCTTAAAACTGAAAACAGTTTCTGGAGCATAACTTAAGTTCCATTTGGCCCACAATATTCAAACTTCATAGGATGATTGTCCATATTGGGCAAAAGACCCCTATTGATTTTGGGGTCACTATGTCAAAGGTCAAGGTCACAATTACCTTAAAACCAAAAACAGTTTCCGGAGCATAACGTTAGTACCATTTTGCCCACAATATTCAAACTTCATAGGATGATTGTCCATATTGGGTAGAAGACCCCTATTGATTTTGGGGTCACAAAGTCACTTTTACCTTAATACTGAAAACAGTTTCTAGAGCAATATTAACGTTCCAATTGGCCCACAATATTCAAACTTCTTAGGATGATTGTCCATATAAGGTAGAAGACCCCTATTGACTTTGTGGTCACAAGGTCAAAGGTTAAGGTCATTATTAATAACTTAAGTATTAATCAACCTACAGCTGTAAAATTTATAGGATGAACAGCGAATTCCCATGTCTTACAAATGCTTCATCCTTACTTAAAAAAAAACACTTTCGGGCATATAATGCTCCGCCTAGCGGTGCTCTTGTTTATAGGACTAATAACATATAGTTATTTAATAAAAGAGCATAATACATGCATGCCATTACTTTGAATTTGCAATATCAAATGCACAGGTAGGGTGATTTTAAGGGATTTCAATGTCATTATTTGTGTCTGTCTCATTTAAATAACTATGCCCTCCTCTCATCTTAAGTCATAATAGGGGATGATACTCTGAAGGTCATCTAGTTGTTTTAACATGTAATTTATAAGTGTACTCCTGTATCAATTGCCATTAATACACCTTCTGACAACTGTAATCCTGGAGAGTTGATTCTTAACTGTCAGTGATCTTTAGAAATTGCGTTAGCCCTTCACCAGTCCTGTTGGAACAGGATATGGTTTTAGATTTAATTATTACTGATTTATATCAAACAAGATTGGTCTTATATTTCGGTCTTATATTTCAGGGTAACACTAGTATTACACACATGATTGATTTTATATTCTAGGGTAACACTAGTGTTACACACAAGATTGATTTTATATTTCAGGGTAACACTAGTGTTACACACAAGATTGATTTTATATTTCAGGGTAACACTAGTGTTACACACAAGATTGATTTTATATTTCAGGGTAACACTAGTATTACAAACAAAGATTGATTTTATATTTCAGGGTAACACTAGTATTACGGGCTAGATTGATTTTATATTTCAGTTATATTTCAGGTTAACACTAGTATTACACACTAAATTGATTTTATATTTCAGGGTAACACTAGTATTACGGGCTAGATTGATTTTATATTTCGGTTATATTTCAGGGTAACACTAGTGTTACAGAGTGTGTGTCTAACAATGGGGCCGTTGATGTGAAAAACTCATATAATGCTGATGGGGAATGGAGAAATTCCAGGTCAACTGGCAATGTAAGTTGTAGCTATTTATAGTGTACTATCAACTATAGTTATATAATTGATTAAAGCAGCATGACTTTTGATTCATGCTGATTTTTATGAAAATGTATTAAAAAGTAAAATATTGTCAAGTGAAAAAGAAAGTAATTTAGCACATTGCAAATGGCACATTCAGTCCCTGTAAATAACCAAATAAGTCAAATTATGCAAAAATTATAAACCCTTTAATACCGCATTAGTCACACAGATGAAATATGGTGATATGGTGATAAATACAGCAAAACAACATATAAACCACTAGATCACCACTCCCCTAATTCAAATATAAACAACATATAAACCACTAGATCACCACTCCCCTAATTCAAATATAAACAACATATAAACCACTAGATCACCACTCCCCTAATTCAAATATAAACAACATATAAACCACTAGATCACCACTTCCCTAATTCAAATATAAACAACATATAAACCACTAGATCACCACTCCCCTAATTCAAATATAAACAACATATAAACCACTAGATCACCACTCCCCTAATTCAAATATAAACAACATATAAACCACTAGATCACCACTCCCCTAATTCAAATATAAACAACATATAAACCACTAGATCACCACTCCTCTAATTGTCCTACTTTAATTTTTAACAGTCAACATAAGTTAAACTGATAACAAGGTCAAAATCTTGCAATTGAACAAGATTCTGTATATGTTTAGGCCGGAGACTGCATGAATGTCCAAAGCACCTATACTCAAAATTCCACGTTAGTCCAAGAATTTCTAAAGTCCCATCAAATTTCTGTTTATCTTTGTACTTAAACTCGGCTTAGGTCAAATTTTGACTTACTGACACTCCTGTTTAGTCTAAAGGAATGTTTGGTCCCGTCAATTAAAGTCGAACATTATTCCCAGGTTTCGTAGTAATATCAATTGTTGGTCATTATGTTTTATATTTACACGTCATAAAAGTGACTTAAGGACTAAATTGGTCTAACACATTTCTTTAAGAAAGTTGACTCATGCCAGTCTGACAGATGTTAGTCTAATAATAGCCTAGTTATTGATGTGTGTTATCAACATTTATGACATTTGTGTAATTAATGTTCCATCATTTTAAGTATGCATATGGGTCGTCCGTGGCCGAGTGGTTAAGGTCGTTGACTTTAAACCACTTGCCTCTCACTGCTGTTGGTTTGAATTCCAACAGGGACTTTGGATTCTTTCATGTGAGGAAGCTATCCAGCTAGCTTATGGAAAGTTGGTGGTTCTACTGGGGTGCCCGTTTATGCCTGAAATAATGCATGGAAGGGCACCTGAGGTCTTCCTCCACTACTGTGTTGGTGTGATGTAAAACACAATCAAACAAACATATGCATACATTAATATATACTTCCGGTTCACAATTATAATTTGCTACTTTTGTTTCGTTTTTGTCTGATGATTAATGCACATTCTCCAAGCATTAAAAATATTGTTGTTTGAATAAATGTGTTATTGTGTAATTGTGCTTCTAATCGAATGAATTATCATGATTGCTTATTGTAAACATGTGCTTTATATTACTACTGATGAGTATTTGACCACCTTGATATGATTGCATTTATGTCATTGTTACGAATGTTTGTATAAATGTATGAATATAAACTAATGGCAGCAGATCCATGTTACTCAAATTCCGTTTCTCTTGAAGTGAAATGCCCAGTCCCTTGAAATTCCTGTTACCGTGAGTCAACTGTATTTTTCATCTGATAGACCAAGATATGCAATGATTTTGTTTTTCTATTCATTTTAATATATTTTTAGCAACAGTATGGACTTACCCTTGTCAGTGGATCATACAATAATGGTATTTTATCATGTACGTTCAAACGAAAAAAGAGTGCCGATCTTGCGGGTATGGCATCAGCCAATGAAGATGATACATTCTTCAGTTTGACCAAAACATGGTACTTGCTGGTTGCCCATGGAAGTGCTTCAGGAGGTATAGTGTTATAATGACTTAGAAACCTTTATCCTATATATTTTAGCAATGCACTTGCCTTGCTTTTTAGCTCACCTGTCACAAAGTGACAGGGTGAGCTTTTGTGATCGCTTTTCGTCCGGTGTCCGTCCGTCCGTCATCCGTCGTCCGTAAACTTTTACTTTAAATGACATCTCCTCATAAACCACTTAGCCAATTTCATCCAAACTTCAAAGGAATATTCCTTTGGTGGTCACCTTTGAAAATTGTTCAAAGAATTTAAGTCCATGCAGAACTCTGGTTGCCATGGCAACCAAAAGAAAAAACTTAAAATATCTTCTACTAAAAAACCCAAAGAGCTAGAGCTTAGATTTTTGGCATGAAAAATCTTCTGGTGAGTGGCTACCAAGTTTGTTCAAATAAAAGCCCTTGGGTCAAAATTGGCCCCGCCCCAGGGGGTCATTGATTTTCCCTATATGCATATAGTAAAAACTTAAAAATTCTTCTTTTAAAGAACCCAAAGAGCTAGAGCTAAGATATTTAGAATGAAACATCTTCTAATGGGTGTCTACCAAGTTTGTTCAAATAAAAGCCCTAGGGTCAAAATTGGCCCCGCCCCAGGGGGTCATTGATTTTCCCTATATACATATAGTAAAAACTTATAAAATCTTCTTTTAAAGAACCAAAAGAGCTAGAGCTAAGATATTTAGCATGAAACATCTTCTAATGGATGTCTACCAAGATTGTTCAAATGAAAGCCCTGGGGTCAAAGTTGGCCCCACCCAAGGGGGTCATTGATTTTCCATTTATACATATAGCAAAAACTTAAAAAATCTTCTTTTAAAGAACCAAAAGAGCTAGGGCTAAGATATTTAGCATGAAACATCTTCTATTGGGTGTCTACAAAGTTTGTTCAAATAAAAGCCCTGGGGTCAAAATTTGCCCGGCCCTGGGGGTCATTGATTTTCCAAATTTCCTTATATGTGTATAGGAAAAACTTAAAAAATCTTCTTTGGAAAAACCAAATAGCTGGAGTTTAGATATTAAGCATGAAACATCTTCTAGTGATTGTCTACAAACTTTGTTCAAATAAAAGCCCTGAGGTCAAAATTGGCCCCACCCCAGAGGTCATTCATTTTCCCTATATGTGTAAAACTATAGCAAAAATTGAAAAATCTTCTTTGAAAAAACTCAAATAGCAAGAGTTTAGATATTAAGCACGAAGCATCTTCTAGTGAGTGTCTTCAAAATTTGTTCAAATAAAAGCCCTTGAGTCAAAATTGGCCTCGCCCCGGGGGACATTGATTTCCCTTATACGAGTATAGCAAAAACTTAAAAATCTTCTTTTAAAAAACCCGAATAGCTAGAGTTTAGATATTAAGCATGAAACATTTTCTAGTAAGTGTCTACAAAGATTGTTCAAATAAAAGCCCTGGGGTCAAAACTGGCCCTGCCCCAGGTGTGACATTGTTTTTAACTATATGTGTAAAGAAAAAACTTTAAAAAATCTTCTTTTAAAAATCCCAACGAGCTAGACCTTAGATGTTTAGCATGAAACATCTTCTAATGGTTGTCTACAAAGTTTGTTCAAATAAAAGCCCCGGGCTTTAAACTGGCCCTGCTCCGGGGGCCTATGTACAGGTGAGCGACTTCAGGGCCATCATGGCCCTCTTGTTTGAAAATACTGCAGTTGCAAGCAGTACAGTCAAACCTGTGTATAAGACCACATGTTCATAAAGATCACACTGTACATTAAGAACACTCCTTGACAACCCATCATTTATTAATTAGAATAAACTAACTTCCAAATTAATATCATTTGTTTATAATATAAAAGTCGTATTTGGTCTTCCACATGGATGGCCTTTATTCACAGGTTTACCTGTATTAAGACATAATGGCTGGTCTGGGTGTATACTGGTAACTTCAACATTGATTTTCCTATAGAATACCTATATATGAGCCGTGTCACGACAAAACCAACATAATGGGTTTGCGACCAGCATGTATCCAGACCAGCCTGCCCATCTGCGCAGTCTGATCAGGATCCATGCTGTTCACTTACAGACCCTATAACAAGTAAGGAAACTGATAGCGAACAGCATGGATCCTGATCAGACTGAGCGGATGCACAGGCTGGTCTGGATTCATGCTGGTCGCAAACCCATTATGTTGGTTTTGTCGAGACACGGCTCATATCTGATTTAATAATGAAAGCAATAAAATATGACAATTTTCTATAAGCGTAGAATCTACCGGTATGTTTCCTTAACACTTATTACTTGTTCTTTTCAAAGGAAATAAAGTCAAGCATAGTGAGTCTCCAAAATTTTCAACATCCAGAATAGATTTCCTTACAGTTAGTACAGACACTGGAACCACACCAGCCATGGGAGAAACAGGGGTAAGTTTCAATTGAATTTTTTTATAGCAATTTCATTGATATCTACTTTAGGAAGTATAAATTATGATGGCCTAAAGAAAGTAATAATACTCATTATCATTGTAATTAGGGTGCATTATTATATCTTTTTTTGATAAAGAAATCTTTTTAATGGAGGGGGAAGGGCTATAGGTTTATGTATTTTATAAGACATTTTTAAATGGAGGGCTATAAGCTATATAAACTTAGCAATGTTAAATACTGGTATGTATGTAAAACAAATAGGAGTTTAAGTGCATCAAAAAAAAGCGATAGCTCAGTAGGTTAGACCACTGACTGTCACTCCTGAGGTTCCGGGTTCGAGGCTGGGTAACACCCTTTGGATTTTTCAGAGACACTTTCAGTGTTTCCCACCTACCTAGAGGTTAACTGGTAAGAAACCCAGGTAATCCTCGCATGTATCAGTGCTATACACTGGGCATGTAAAAGAACCAAGGGAACTATTCAATAAGAGCTAGGGACTCCCTTGTATGTCATAGCTGTCTCTAGAGTCTGGTGAGGTAAGGACCCTACTGGAAATAAGTGTTTGCACTTTTGTAGGTTATCCTTAAAGGCCCGTTCTAAAGAAAATCAATCAATCAATCATTGTTATTGTGTTATCAACAGAATATCTTTATGTAAGAGATGACAAATTCAACATTCTGTTAAATTTTGGTGAGGAATGAATACCACTAGGTATTTTTCTCTTTCTGTTAAAGAAACTTTGTGTATTTATGATGATGTCTTTTTTACATGGTATTGTGTTACATCATGTTATTTTATTACATTGTGACAGATATATAAACAAAATTCATATACATTATATTTGACCTTGACCTTTGACCTTATTTTTATGAAATATATAAATAGATGATAAAGAAGGACAGTAAATGTGGAGAAAGTCTTGGATGTTACCATGATTGTAAAGATAGTGGATCATGTGGATTTTTATTGACCTGGAAGGAAAACGGAGATAATATAGATTTTACCTTGACCTGTAAACGTCCAGGAAACAATGTGTTCTGTGCCATTGGATTATCCAAAGATAAAAAAATGGTAAGACTTGAGCTACAACTCAGGTAGCCTTGACTGTTTCAATGTTCTTTCTATTACTCAAAGCACGCTAATGTTTGCGTTACATTACAGGTGCGTCAATGAAAAATGCCTCTTTTAAACTGTAAATCTTTTTTTTTTTAATATGTGATAAATAGAATATTTTATTCGTCTAGTTTCATGACTTAATTTATTGAACTTGTTATATAAACAATATTATGCTCACCAAAGGCTAGCATAATATAATTTTTTTCAGCTTGTTCAATAAATTTAGTATTAAACTTTAACACTCATTTAATATGATGTATTATAATAGTTATATAAAATTATGTGTTTATAATATTGTTATTTAATAAAGCACTAATAAATGGGTATATTGTTTGTACATATATTTTGTAAAAAATGAATTTGGCAATTCATTTGTAAGGTAATTTTATAAACTTATTTTTAAAAAATGAGCCGCGTCATGACAAAACCAACATAGTGCGTTTGCGACCAGCATGGATCCAGACCAGCCTGCGCATCCCCGCAGTATGATCAGGATCCATTCCGTTCGCTATCAGCTTCTCTACTTGTTATACGGTTTGTAAGCGAACAGCATGGATCCTGATCAGACTGCGTGGATGCGCAGGCTGGTCTGGATCCATACTGGTCACAAACCCATTATGTTGGTTTTGTTGGAAGCCGCTCATATGTTTCGAAAGAAGTTGTGCCACATAAGATTTATTTTGCTACTTGTTATTACTGTGTTGATATGTCCTTTGATGACTTTTAATTGTAGTAAGTGCAACTTAAATAGATAAAGAAAACCAAACTAAACAATGACATGGACCTTTTCTTTTATTTTATGGCTGTTTTGAAGAAATCTAAAGTTTTTTATCTGTATCATTAACAGGGTGATGACAGTGTTTTTGAATGTGTATCCAGTGATAATACAGTGTCTGCTTATGTCTCATACAATGGCGGAAGAAATAATAAAAGATTATCGACGGTAATGTATCTATTGAATGTATATTAATTCAGGCTTAGTTCAGAGGTACAAATTTGCTTAAAAAGACTACATGGCCAGTTTTAAGTGTGACATACATATGGTGAAATAAATTGGTGAATGTCATATAACTTCATATCGTATAGAAGGGTGTTATTCTGAGTAATTTGAAAACGAAGGATGTAATTCTGTGTAATTTGTAAAATTTAAGAAGGATGTAATTCCAAGTAATTTGTAAAATATTGAGTAATTTGTAAATAAATGATGTTATTCCTAGTAATTTGTAAATGAAGAATTTAATTCTGAGTAATTTGGAAAAGAACAATGTAATTCTGAGCAATTTGTAAATGAAGAATATAATTCTGAGTAATTTGTAAAAGAAGAATATAATTCTGAGTAATTTGGAAAAGAACAATGTAATTCTGAGTAATTTGTTAAAGAAAAATGTAATTCTGAGTAATTTGGAAATGAACAATGTAATTCTGAGTAATTTGTTAAAGAAGAATGAAATTCTGAGTAATTTTTAAATAAAGGATGTTACATTCTGAGTAATTTATAAAAGAAGAATGAGATTGCAATAGATTTGAAAATAAAGGATGTAACTCTGATTAATTTGTAAATAAAAAATGTAATTTTGAGTAATTTGTTCATAAAGGATGTTATTCTGAGTAATGTGTAAAAGAAGAATGTAATTCTGAGTAATTTTCAAATAAGGAGACTTAATATCACTAAGCTAAATCATTTCTTGATCTTCTCATCCTATAGATGTGTGCACTCTTTCATAAGTTCATAACGCCATCTGTTTATTTTTTTACTGAAGTCATCTTTTTTACAGCCTCAGTTTGGACTCAGTAGTATAAAAGCATCTCATGAGGACGGCATACTAAAATGTCAGTTTTCGAGAATGAAGACTTTCAACCAAGTTTCAAACATGAACGGACGTAAGAAAAGAGCAGTTGATCCATCAGCCTCAAGATACTTTGATATGAACAAAGACTTTAATTTATTATATGCATTTGGAACTGCTATTGGAGGTAATGAAATACTTTATTGTCTTTAATTTAGTTTTTGATTTAAATAAGGTTTCATGTTTCATATGGCAACTTCTTAGATTTAACTGAGAAGGAAGACAATGTGTGCCTTTCTTTGCATATTTCCAGGCTTAAAGGTCCTGTATGTTGTAATTGAGGTTGTATACCAGTGTGTGTTTTTAGTTTTATTTATACTGGGTGCCGGCTTTGCCATATGTCCCAGACTATCTGCCTCTGTTACATCGCTGGTCGTAGAGCCTGCAATGGAGGACTTCTTAGTTTGCTTGCAACGTCGCTGATCGTAGAGCCACAGTGGAGGCCTTCTCATGCCGTCTTTTGTTGTAGATCTTCTCTAGGACCCAGTTCTTCGCTTCTAGAACGCAGTAGACAATAGGAGGAAAGGCACCTCTTCTGGGAGCAGCAGCTCTTTGTAGGGCCACACCCTTCGCCGTTGTTTAGGTCACACCAGCTAAGTGACCTAACTAGGTCACCCATCTGGTGTGACCTATGCATGTGTTGTGCACGCCACGAAGGGAAGTTGGAGGATTGTATACCACACTTAAGTGAAATTATATATATGTATATAATTATGCTTATAAAACAATTTTCAAACACCAAAGAATATGTAAATTATGTACAGCAAATACATGTATTGGTACATATATGTAATCATTAAAATATATGCATTTATTTCTTTTTGAAAAAATTGACTAAGACTTTATAGAAAATAGATTTTTTATTATCTCCCTTTATATACACGAAATGTTAAATTCAGTAATAGCTTTAGGAATAATGTTTTGGAACTTACAAAATTGATAAACCTTAATTTAAGCATCACATTTATGATATAAAACCATAAAAAATATTGTGTTACAGGATCTTTAAAAGTCAGTTATAGGTACAGCAAGTGATTGTTAGTTGATCCAAAATAAACCTAGTTAAATACTTTGCTATAAATAAAAGTGTTTTTTTTTTGTTTCGTTTTATTTTATACAAATATATGATATTTTGAGGAGACCCAGTCAATTTTTTTCATGTTTGCAGAGGAACATTTGTGCTGTATGTGATAGAACTTCATTTTTGTAAAGTCATTCTCATTAAATTGCACATGGTATAGTGACTGTAGACATTTTATGTTTGAAGAGGTACTTTATGTTTTTATGTTTCACTATAGATTAAGTATTAGGAATTTTTAATTTTTGTAGAGGCTATGTGTGGAAATTTTATGTTTGTATCTTGGCAATATCAGGAAATTTCAGAAGTACTGCTGAAAATTTCATAGTTTTGAAATATGAAATCAGAATAATAATTTGAGCCGTGCCATGACAAAACCAACATAATGGGTTTGCGACCAGCATGGATCCAGACCAGCCTGCGCATTCGCGCAGTCTGATCAGGATCCATGCTGTTCGCTATCACTTTCTTTACTTGTTATAGGGTCTGTAAGCGAACAGCATGGATCCTGATCAGACTGCGTGGATGCGCAGGCTGGTCTGGATCCATGCTGGTCGTAAACGCACTACATTGGTTTTGTCGTGACACTGCTCATTTATGCCTAACATATTTCAGGTAATCTGAACAAACATCAAACTCATCCAGTAATATCATCGCAGACAGCTGATTTCCAGAGTTTTACAGACATTGGTGCCGCTTCTATTTCAAAGGACAGAATTATCATCCATGGTAAATGTTGATTAATAATATCTGTCATATGTTGCGGTTCAGATAGGAATATACGTCCCAAGGGGACACCGCCCATTTTGCAGTTAATGAGTTTATCGATTTAAACCGCCCATTGGCAGTTTGGAATGAAATGTTTTCCCGGATCCGAACCCGGGAAACACATCTTTTGATAGGGTTTTTCTTGCAATTTGAAAATATTATTTTCATTTTTTAAAATTTGGTTAACCGCATAAATATTTTTTTCTTTGGAAATTTAAAAATTTCATTTCAATCCATAACTTTTTTCTTAAAATTTAGCAATAAAATTTTATAACTTTTAATAACAAGGGGCAAAATGAGGTCATCCTGAGCATTTATTTCCCCTTTTTTTAAAATGACATCATTTTAACATGGTTCATTCAGTAAATGCGCTAAAATGATTTGCTTGGAGGAAAACCCCAGGGGCTTCCTTTACATAATGCAGCATGATAATAATGTAGCTTTTTGGGTTAATCGGATCTGTTCTGTTTCATTGAAGAAAGAAATTCACCTAAATTTTTACATGTTTTCAGGCATTTTAATGATATTTGCATGGATATTCTTCGCCAACTGTGGTATATTCATGGCAAGATTTTACAAGACTGTCTGGCCCGAAGGCATGGAGTGGTGTGGACAGAAACGTTGGTTTGTTGTAAGTGGCTTGGATTTGTTTTGAGCAATATCTGACCTTTATAATAAAGACTTCAGAATATGTCTCAGAAATTCTTTTATTTATATTTCTCAAAAGCTTTTTATTGTTGGTATAATTTTATAGTTTCCAAAAAGTTACTCATTGGCAAATTACCTAAACCATTAATTTTGTTCATCTGCTCCTTTTCGGCAGTCTGTACAATTATAGTGATAATTTTAGTAATTTGTATGGAAGTCAAATTACTACTTTGTTTACATTTTGCTACTTTTATGACACATTCTTTTACATTTAGTGCTACTTACTTCAGGTTACAAGCATCTAACTTGCTCCATAATCATTATTTAAATATATTAAATTTCATGTTTGCCTTTCTAAAGAAGTAAGAATGTTTCATTTCTTAGGCATATTGTGACTTTCAGTAAAGATATTATAGAAATCATCAAAAGATAATTGAGTTTGTATGTATTTTATTTACTTTTAAAGCCAGCTTCTTAATAACAAAAAATAGCCTGGATCAAATTAATGTAAATCAATGATTTTCATTTTGTTTTATATATAACAGTTACACAGATTGGCTATGGTGACAGTTTTCTTGTTGACAGCTGCCGCTGCTGTTATTATATTTGTACATGTTGGTGGTTACTCCGAGGTTTGTTCTATCTTTTTATTAAAATTAATTCCCATTTTCAGTAACTTAAACATTTTTGAAATTTATTCATGTACATGTATTTTTTTTTTAAAGTTGAAAACATTAAAATTTAATAATGCTTTTTTTTACAATGTATCACAGTATGGATATTTTACAAAATTTAAACTATAAGAATCTTACACCATCAGCTGGTACAGACGGAAATATCTAGATCCAGGGTAGCTGTTTATTATGGTAGCATGGCTCTGCTGCTTATAGTAGTGTATGAATTTACAATGAGGTCATTTTAAGAGCGCAATTTTATTCATAAAAGGCACATGGGAATGATGTAATTTAAAGCATGAGACTTGTCTTACATGGGGGTGTACGACAGTATTTTTCTAGCACCAGTGCAAAGGGTTGATAATCCTGTCTCATAGGCAAGAAACAAATAACTTAAATGGGCAGATAGAAAGCAATGTGGTACTGAAAGATACAATGCTGTTTAAAGATGGTAAAGATGGATTGTTTTGAATCATCTGCTCCTGAAAATGACCTAAAAGAGTAATATCTTTCAAAGTAGAATTGTAACCCCCAATTTTCTTTTTCATCCATTTGTTTCAAGCATCATTCTCTTTAATCATGTAAAGTGTCAGAAAATTCTGTGGACTTAAGTTCCAGTGTTTCTTTTTTTGCCTTCTTCCAGAAAATGTCTTCAATTTCAATATTCGTAATAGTATGCTTAGCTTTTAACTTTTTAAAATTGATTTTTAACTATTTGCCATTAAATACCTATAATTGACAGAAACTTCAAATTGCTGAGTATTGAAACCATGACCTGCAAGAGATTTATTTGTATAATTACAAAGTATATGTATATGCCATGATTTTTCAAATTATGTTTGAAAATGTTAAACAAAGTGTGTTTGTCTCTTCTTCATTTTTCTATTTATATATGTACTTAAGTGTACAAAAATGTATACCATTTAATGGGAAAATGGCCATTGCAATAGATGAAATAATTTGTTTTAAATTTAAACCAAAAAATGAAAAATCTATATTAAGTGTATTACTTTGATCACTGTTTCATAGAATTCAAAGACAGCTTAATCAATCTTATAGACAAAATACTAGTATATCATACTCTGTTAGAAAATTGGCCTTTTAGATATATAGATAAATACATGTTCTGTGAATTTAAATGAGTATACCACTTTTGTAGACAGAAAATCATGTGCACATAAATATCAGTTTAACTTACTTATAATAATTGATTATTGGATGGTTGTCTCAAATCGATGACATATTGCTTCGTTAAAACTTATACTGTTGCTAATTCAATTCAATCATACATAACATAATATAAATGTTTGGATATGGTTTTAGTTTATTGACCAAGACCTTTACTTCTTCAAATATTTTTCAGATTGTTGGAACTAACTTCCAGAAAGCTCATCCTATACTAGGAATAATTGTAATGTGTTTAGCAACAGTAAATGTAAGTAAAAACAAGGTTTAAAGCAGTGCTATTCCCTAGTTCATGTGATTTTCATAATTATTTTTATATGAATTAAATTAAAAAATCATAATAGTTAAAAAATTGTCAAGTTTACAAAATAAGATAATAAATTTAGCCTAAAAGTCATGCCAGTGTTGTAAATATTCATGTAACCATTTTGTCAAATTTGCAACGATTTTTTCTCGCTTGAACACTGTGTGCAACCACTTCACATCCTGTCCCTTGTTTATATAGACAATAAAAGGGAAACACATTTGTCTTTTGTAAATCTTGAATGTTTAGAAATCAGATATTTGGCATGAAGCACTTCCTTGCAGAGCTCTATAAATACATACATTTTATAAGATATGCAGCTGGGGTCAAAATGATGCACCATATATGACATAATTATTTACTTCTGCATTGAAGAATTGTGATAGTGTCTAGCAAGGTATCTCAAGTGAGCAATCTTGGGGTCATCGTGGCCCTCTTGTATAAAGTTTCTAGTGTATGGCTTGCAATTTGATAGTCAATGTTCGCCCTGTTTTCTGTGTATATTGATATATTGTATATTATTTGATTTGTTTTATTTATATTTGCAGCCTATTATGGCATTGTTCAGACCACACCCAAATACACCAAAACGACCATACTTCAACTTTGCTCATATCACTGTTGGTGTAACAGCTTATGTTTGTGGAAGTAAGTTTCCTTTTTCCTGTGCTGAAATAAGTTTAATTTAATAGTAATGTTGAATGATCAAACAAGTTTTAAAGTAAAACAGATAATTTTCTATATACAACAAATGGGAAAAGATGGACAAATCTTGGGCAATTTTCATAGACATTTTATGGCTTATTAACAAGTGGCTAGATGGAATCTGCCTTGCCCAAAAAAGACGACATTTATATGAATGAACAGACAATTTTTGCAACATGGTCATACAAGCAGTTTTAAAAATATCCAGAGACCTTTTACAAACATCATTTTTTGTTATGCTTGCTGTGAATATACTACATTCTTGCATAAAAACTAGGTACGCCAGTACACATTAACAGGGAAGAAAACGTGCATTAATTGATCAAATCACCTGAGCTGAAGCGATTTGTTGCATGATTTTTAGGTTTAGGTTGTGTGACTCAATGCGCCATGTAAGAAATGCTTACTGCAATGACGGCCCTTGTAGTTTAATTATTATGAAAAAATAACTGTCAAATGACAATTTGCTGATACTGATTTTTTTTATACCAGAAACAAATAATGTTACAAGGTATTGTCAAATGAGAAGAATAGCGCTAATGCACCTTTTGCCCTTCATCAATATCTGCATAAGCCCTCAGACTTCCTGATCCCTTGTTCTGTGGACTCTGACATCATATGTGTCCTCCTGCTTCAGCAGACTTTAACATATGAAAATAGGTGCATTATAAATAACCCTCTATTACTTCGCAAAAATGAATGTATAGCATAAATGGTAAACTATAATTTAAGATGTGTCTTAAATTGATGATAATTTTTTTTGCAGTTGTGAATATTTTTGCTGGTTTTGATCAGCCAGCAATAGAGGTACCGTTCAGTGCTAAAATAGTGATTTGGGTAGCTCTTGGGTGGATTGGTCTCATTGAGTTGACCTCATACATTTATGACTGTCAACATAAAAAAGGTAAGATTGTCATAGTAACATAGAACTAAGTAGTATTTCCTGTTCTAATTGATAACCATGTATTTAATTGTATTTAACTTGCTAGTTACATATAACTCCACTCTTTAGTTATTAAAGTTTATTTCATTTACTTCTGTTGTAGGTGTAAATAGTTCAAAATAAAATTGATGGTCAAGTAATGATAGTGATATGAATTCACTTCTTTCTAAAACTTATACAATTATGTAAATTTATGCCTTTCGGATATTCAATATTATATACATTTTGAAATTTCAATAAGTCCAATTTTTATTTCATTCATTACTTGAATCTGATAATTTGAATCAGAATTTATGTAATCATTATTTTTTATTATTAATCTAATATACATTGTATGTGAAAATCTTTTTAGAAAAGTTAATAACTCCGTAGATCTAATGCTTTTATAACTCAGTTTTAAGATAAAGTTAAGTTGTGTGTTATCTTTTTTCATGAAACATTTTTTTCACCAACTTTTTGATATAGTTTATATGATTTTGTTTAGTTATGTTTATACAATGTATATTATTGCCCTGATCATTTTTGTACCTGTGTAAAGTAGCTGGAATTTTATTTCTATCAGTACATTCAATTACGAAGTCACCTGACAAAGTTGATATCCAATCAAATGAAGGTATCTTAAAGCATGCAAATTCAGTCAGTTATTATACCCCCGAAAAAAAAAGTTTGGGGGGGTATATAGGAGTCACCCGGTGGTCGGTCGGTCGGTCGGTTGGTCGGTCGGGCGGTCGGTCGGTCGGTCGGTCCAGACGTCCGTTGCATTTTCCTTGTCCGGAGCATAACTTGAAAACTAATGGTTGGAATTCAATATAACTACATACAATGGTCAAGCACATTGAGAGGAAGTGCAGTGCATAAGAACCATAACTCTATCTTTCCTAATTACAGAGTTATTGCCCTTTGTTACTTTTCCTTGTCCGGGGCATAACTTGAAAACTACTGGTTGGAATTCAAAACAACTTCATACAATTGTCAAACACAATAAGGGGAAGTGCAGTGCACAAGAACCATAACTCTATCTAAAGTAATTACAGAGTTATTGCCCTTTGTTGCTTTTCCATTTGCTTTTTTTTTTGTCCTTTGCATTTTCCTTGTCCGGAGCATAACTTGAAGACTAATGATTGGAATTCAATATAACTACATACAATGGTCAAGCACATTGAGAGGAAGTGCAGTGCGTAAGAAACATAACTCTATCTTGACTAATTACAGAGTTATTGCCCTTTGTTACTTTTCCTTGTCCGTGGCATAACTTGAAAACTACTGGTTGGAATTCAAAACAACTTCATACAATTGTCAAACACAATAAGGGGAAGTGCAGTGCACAAGAACCATAACTCTATCTAAAGTAATTACAGAGTTATTGCCCTTTGTTACTTTGCGATTGCTTTCTTTTGTCCGGACCATAACTTGAAGACTTATTGTTGGAATTCATTATAACTTCATACAATGGTCAAGCACATTGAGAGGAAGTGCAGTGCATAAGAACCATAACTCCATCTTGACTAATTACAGAGTTACTGCCCTTTGTTACTTTTCCTTGTCCAGAGCATGACTTGAAAACTACTGGTTGGAATTCAAAACAACTTCATACAATGGTCAAGCACAATAAGGGGAAGTGCAGTGCACAAGAACCATAACTCCATCTTGACTAATTACAGAGTTATTGCCCTTTGTTACTTTTCCTTGTCCAGAGCATAACTTGAAAACTACTGTTTGGAATTCAGTACAACTTCATACAGTTGTCAAGGACATTAAAAGGAAGTGCAGTGCACAAGAGCCATAACTCCATTTTGACAAAATACAGAGTTACTGCCCTTTGATACTTTTCCTTGTCCAGACCATAACTTAAAACGTACTGGTTGGAATTCAAAACAACTTCAATGGTCAAGCACAATAAGAGGAAGTGCAGTGCACAAGAACTATAACTCTATCTTCAGTATTTATAGAGTTTTTGCCCTTTGTTCTTTTTCTTTGTCTTTCTGGACTTATTACAGAGTAATTCAATTAAACTTCATCAATGGCCAACCACATTGAAAGGAAATGCAACATACATGAACCACAATTATCTTTAATTGCCCACAACCATAACTCTATGTTTCAATTCTATTACAAGGTATTCTGTTACTAGTAACATCCTCATTTCCGAAGCAGATTTGTGGGGGTATTAATCACATTTAGTGATAGTTCTAGTTTTTATTTTGTAAAACAAGTGTAATATATAGTACCAATTGTTGTACTTTGTCATTTTAAAGTATTACATCGTAACTAGCTTATAGAATACAGTTTATCACATACACCACGGTGCAGGAGTGTAATAAACCCATTTAATAAATACAATATTACACTACTGTAATAACACTGTGATGTGACGTCAGTTGCATTATAAACAAACAAAGCGTAACTCTAAACCATTCTTATTTTATTTATGTGATAAACAGAATATTACTTTTGTGTAGATTCAATACTACATTTATTGCATTTGTTTGAATGAAATAATATTTTATTCAACTAATTCAATTAATTTTGTATTCAATCTACATTCAAAATCCTTTATTTCATTTTTCCTCTATTTATGTTTTGATTACAGTGTCATGGTGATACAAATTACTGTAGCTTTGGGTCATAATGACACTATTTTTCAAACAACAGAAAAACGGTGACATGTACCAAATTATCATTACGCTTTGATAGATTTATTACATACTAGCAGAGACATATAATCCGATGTAATGTCTCTGATACTAGTGTATCAAATGCATGGTAGGTTATCAAATATATAGAATTTTCCACGTTCCTATACATGGCTTTTTTAGTCTTACCGATATCTGTATTTGTATTAAAATTATCTTTTTAAGAAAATAAACAATACTTATCAAAGTCCATTAATAAACATTTATAATATACTTCAGGGGGCCTTTATTTTTACATAACTTTTATTAATAGTATTAGAAGCTGCTTATTTTAAGTAAAACTAATGTGAATTAAATAGTATTTAAAATTTGCTATTTTGAAATAAGTTGTTGATAAAATTGACGATCAAGTCAGGAAAAGAGTTTAATTAGTTAGTATTTGATAAGCAATCAAATTCAGGCATCATAAAAATATCACTTATTTTTTCCTTTGTTTCAATTGAAATTAAAGTACATTTTAATATTTTCCATCACAAATTTGTATTTACCAGACACTTATTTAAGACATTATTGTCATAAAATTCCATGACTATTAAAAGAAATAAGATTATATTAAGTTCAAATGAGAAATTATAGATTAGTTAACATTTTATATCTAGGCCATTCATTAGAAAACTTCATGTTGACCTATTTTCATGAACAAATCATTTCATATTTAAAATTAAAGTGACATAATATGCTCATTTATATTTGCTGTCATGTTGATCTTCAGAATAACTATCATTATGATCATTCACCAAAATTGATAATAAGTAATGTTTAGGTTAAAATATAAAAACTCCTAAAATATAAAAAGACTGCCCATTTTACTCTTTTCATAATTTGAATATTATTGTTACATTCTGAATGATATTTAAAGAATTTTTCTCGAGTCACATGGGTAATTGATTAGACATGTGAAACAAAAATATAAAATTGAAAACATCATGGCAAAGTTACTTTAAATAACCTGTACCCTTTTACCTGTATACCAACCTTTTACTCTTGGATGGGCATATTGTCACTTAAAATACATGTAGTTAATATATAGTGATTTACTATCAGTCTTCTATTCGAGTGTTACTTATTAACATGTTTCCTCCACTTATACTCCATCCTAGGGCATGATGAGGGAACCTCTCCTATTCTTGGCTACAACAGTAATTATGTTGTATTTTATACATTGCAACATGAAACTATTCTATACACTTCAAAATAGATAGTCTAGTTACATGTTTGAATCTCTAACTTTGCTTGACCTTAACACCAGTGTTTGCAAGTTTGCAAAGTTGGTCCATCCTAATGATTGTGGCATAAATAAAAAAAAAAAATTAAAACAATTGAAGTGACTGCAGTTTGAAATACAAATGTATATAGGTCGTTAAATGTTATTTAATAAGAATAACTAATATTGTGAAATGACATAAATGACATACAAACAATTATTTTGTTTCATTTAAAAAAGTTCTTTGTTAGGTAAATTTTGTTGCCTAGCAACCTGACCATATGCAGATAAAACACTGATGTTTAGAAGCGACATAAGTGCTGATTATTTTCGCCATTGATGTTGTCCAGATCGTTCTTGTACATTTACAGAAAAATAGCTCTTCATGGGTTTTGTATTGGCAAAAGAAAAATAAATTGTTTCCAATGTTGTATATCTATTTTAAATTATTTCAAAATATGAAAAGAAAAAAAAATTCATATGGTGAAATGGTATCAGCAATTGTGTTAATATTGACATATAATCATGAATGTCTTTCAAGATTTGGCTCGGTGCATGAAGGGTTGGCTTTCAAATAATTACTTTATGAGGGAATAAAAAGAGGCTCTCACCAAAGAATTATAAATAAAAGTTAGTTTGTCTCACTTGTTCCAGATTCAATGTGCCTAATTTAACACCTGTTCCATGTTTAAATATTAAAGTGTGCATAAACTGTTGCTGGGTGCGAGGGTGTGGACTTGCTACTGCCGTACATGGACATGTTTAATCAAAACAAGCCTGAAACATTTCAGTTTCACCATGTTTGTCTTAGTAACCTTTATTGTTTTAATTTTTGACCATCAAAAAATATTATTTAAATATAAAATATGAACTTTCTAGCTGATATGTCATTTTAATCAAATTTATAATCATACAGTGCACTTTGGCCATTATAAGTCCCGCCAAATAGTTTAAAATCACGTAAAGTCGAAAGGCAAATACTTAGTGAGTCAGAGACGGAATAGAGATATTGTTCAGTAATGAAGTTCAAATTGGTCACTTATTCCCTCATTTTGGCTTAAAATCATATTTATTTTCTCTTTTCTGCTAATAGTAATTACTAAATGTGATTTTGTTTGCATGTATGACACATGGATAAGAAAGATTCTCAGGCTTTTATGATATCTATCTTTATTTCCCATTACTTACATTGAACTCAGTCTTTCTAAAGTTTTTTTTATCTAACATTCTCCCCAGTCTTTCATTAACTTCTATAAGTTACATTGACCTAAATCTTTCACTAACTTTTACCCCAGTCTTTCTTGAAAGAACTCCACTGAGGTTAATATTAAACATAGATCAAGTAAAACTCTTAAAATAGAATTAAAATAGAAGATCTGCAAATGATCTTCTAGAAATATCATATTATATTATAACTCAGAATTATATTGAAAATTTATTGTTTGTGCAACTCTTATCCCAATTTGAGTAAAAGCATGGCAAAAATTGCCAAACTTGCTTCTAAATGTGGAATTTCTAATGGAAGTGCTTACACTATAATTCATGGACATTTAGGCATGTGAAAAGTACTGGTATCTACCAGGTGGGTTAAACATGCAAATTAAGTTAGAGTCAAGAGCTTCAACAAGTGTTCAATGCAAAAATTCAGGATACTTCCACACTCGTCTTGAAACCAGAAAGGATTTTTATCTGTTTATGAAATTTGAAGTAGAAAAAGATTTCGGGACAATTATGAGCTAAGGCTGCTTTTGGAAATCAAACAGACAATTTTAATCTCAAAAGTAAAGTTCTTTTAAAAGAAAAATGGGCCAATTGCATTGAAGTAAAAAAAATTAATAAGAAAATTATTAAAAAATAATGTTAAAACCACCTTCCAATCTGTAAGTTAAAACCCCAACATTTTGGACAATCCTTGTGAATTCCAATAGCTAACAGTGGCCTCAGTCTTTCTCAAGTTCATATAACTAACATTTACCTTAATCTGTCTTAAGTTTTCCTTTACTTCCTACAACAATAATTCACCTTAACATTTCTTGAAGTCCCATAGCAATTATTGACCTGAGTCTAACTTTAATTTTTCCAGCTATAGTTTTCAGCTACCATTAAACCCAAATTGCTTCAGCTATAACTAACAATAACCTCAGTCTTTCTTGAATCTAATATTTAAGATTTACATTTTCAAACTTTTTATAGCTAACATTGACCTCTTTCTTGAGATCCCTTTTCAAAATTCCATTTTATTTAGTTCTATCCATTGTTTTCTCGTTTAGGGCACACGCATTCTTTTACTTTGGGACCATACGCCGCTTTTCATGGAATCGCACTACTGTGAAAACCGCCGTATGAATACATCTGCGGATGTTTCTAAATTCAAAATTTCACCATTACCGTGTTTGAATGTTGAATTCTGCTTAAGCCCATGCTACTGGGCGTTGACAGTTACTTGCACTTTCCAGTCACCGTCCATGAACAGGCTCAATCAACCGAGCCTTCAATATGTTCAGTTTTGCCATGTTTGGATTCTTTAAGGATTCTGTTTTTCTCTATTTTTTTTTCTATTTTTTTAATTTTCAAAACTAACATTGGCCTCAATCATTGTCGAAGTTTTACAGCTTACATTTAAATCTATTTTCAACTAGTTATAAAAACATATAGGAACCCAATGTTGGCATATATGGGCAATGACAAATATTGTCCAGAGCATATCTTCTATGGAGCGATTTAAGAATTTCATGTATTTGAAATACAAATGTTCAACACCATGAGATGTAGTGTTGTTTTCATGATCCAGGCCTTTAGATTGAAGGTCGAACATAGAGGTCAGAGGAAAACTGGGTCATAGCAAAACTTCTACATGCATTTAGGAATGCCAATATAATGTTCATACATGCTTACTTTAATGAGACTTTGTGTTGATCGTAAAAGCAAAGTCCCTTTGGCAAAGGTCAAGGTCATAGGCCAGATAATATGATAATACATGTACGGCTTATAGTTTTGGGTAGTCGGCTCGGAAATATTCACAATCATGAGACTGATCGAATGTTACTAGCATAATCCAAGGTAATATACACAAAAGCACGAGATATGATACATTTTCAAATTTTGTCTGAAGCATATCTTCTTTATGCATACCTGAATTTAAGTATTACCTTATTCATATTTTATATCAATGTAATGTAGCACACATAAGCCAGTCACACTTTGAGGTTGTCCAGAGCAAAACGTCTACATTCATTGAAGGATTTTAATATATCTTGGTACAAATGTTTACTATTGTGAAGTGGAATGTTGCATGCAAAACTCAGGTCTTTCTTGCTAAGGACAAGGTCACATGCAGAGTTCCAAGTTTAGATGAAACATTTGAAAATGTATGTACGGGGTATTTACTCATCAAGGATTCAGGGATCTAATGTAAATTCACCATCATGAGATTTAGCTTTTTGTGACAGACATAGTTTGTGACAATGGTACTCTTGTCAAAGCTAACATTGACCTCAGTCTTTCTGTTGAGATCTGATGGTCAGTATTGGTCGTTTTGAACCCTAGGACACAACAATGAGGACAGGGAAGATTTACCATTAACAACGGGAATAGTTATAATAAAACCACCTACATGTATAATTAGATTAAATACAAACTAATTTTGAGTTTACTGTACATACTATTCAAGTTACAATACCTATATGTAATAATAGTATAGATGTATAATTATAGATTTTGACACAAGTGTATCGATATAATATTGTTGGAAGACATATGTTTTAGATGGTATGGTAAAGGTTTATTTGACATTTATAAATGTACATATTACAGAAGACGGGACATTTGGTGAAGTGATATATTTTTCAGCACAACCTGAATTTTTTTATATTATGTAAAGGTTTTGTTATAAATATGTTGTAATTGTAGTATAACAGGACAACAAATATTGTAATAATTTTTCCACTCCTTTTATTCAAAGAAAAATACATTTTAACAATTAATGGTTTTACCTTATCGCAAATATATACACATGTTATAAGTATGTTTATTAGGCTCTTTTAGAGGGACTGCTCCATCTTGTCCAAGCTTGCATGGTGCTGCTTAATCTTAAACTAAATCTTTGAAACTTTTTATTGCCATATTTTTTCATATTTTATGCCAAATTTTATAATACTTTAAACCTTATTTGCAATATCTTGCATATTTTATGCCATTAGAGTTATAATATTTAAAACCTGAACTGCAATTATAAGCTTTCAAATTTTATGCCATCATTATTTATAATACTTAAAACCTTATTTGCAATATCTTGCATGATTTTATGCCATATTTATTATAAACCTAAAACATTATTTGCAATATCTTACATTTTTATGCCTTTATTTATTATTTATTTAAAAATGATAATTTTTATATTGTATTTATACTTTCTTTGTTATTAACTAATACAGCTATACAGTAACTGGCAAAAATATTAAAATATCAGGAAATAAATGTCCAGTCTCATAATATTACTGGTTGGGGACCACCAAAACCGGACAACCACCAAACCCGGACGGCCCTGAAAATGCTTAATTTAGTATTTTCTTTGTTCAGTGGTTGTCAGTCACTTTTTTATCAACAATAAATGCATGTTTCTTCTAAAAATAAATAAATAAATTTATTTCAACCACCGTAAATGGTAATATTTTAATGGCTATTTCAAGAATGTTGACGTTGAAATTTGGGGGTCAAGAAAACAATGCTTGACCTCATATACCAGCTATAATCATTTGCAGAGTAAACAATAGAATTTCCAAAACTTCAGCATTTGTTGCTGAAATATTGTCTATCATGTTAAAAATTAAAAATCAAAACACCCAAGCTTTTATCTGAATTAAATCACGTCATGTACATAAATGTCCGGACACATGGTACTGTAGTGTAGACAATTGAGGTAATTTTGATACCTCCTTGTCGAGCCTCAGATATAAGTGTCAATACAATCAGAAATAAACAAACTAGTTTGTTAGTTAGGAGAAGAACCTAGCTGAACCTTGTCAATTTTTTTGGTCTCTAGGTTAAAAATTATGAAATCTGTACAGAAAAATGTTCAAAAAGTGTCCGGTTGATGGTCCCCGACCAGTATAGAAATATAATTTTGTTAACCATGAGAAAGACATAGAAAGGCATCAGCATTGCGCTTGTTTTAATGTTTTTCAGCTGTTAATTATTTCATTTTAAGACCCCATGAATTATGACCACTTTGATTTAATCAATTTACATTCATTATAGAAAAACGGTAAACATTTAAAGATTAAGATATTCAGAATATCAAAGTACTGAGTTCTAAATATCCTGTTAGATTTTCGACATTATATACATTATTTACATTTGTATTTATATAACTTATTATCAAATCTTTTATCATAAAATTGTTTTATGTCATTCAGGTTCTAAAGGTGAAGCATATGAAATGAAAGACGCAGCAGCAGATAACGCACCTGTGACCCAGGTATGTGAAAAAATCGTAGAATTACTTGAAAATGTAAAACAAGTTTATAACTATAGGTAAATAGCTGTTATGGAGGAAACATTTAATCAAAGAATGGTTGAATTGTTGCAAAGGTTTACCCTAAAATTGATTGGACAACCTAAAGCATGTAAACCTTTTTATAAAACTTAAAATAGTTAATAGAATAGCTCTTGTAAATATGTTTATTTGCTATAGCTTAATGGTCAACCTGATCTGACATTTTCCAGTATAACTGGCATTACCTAGTACCACTGTTCTACGTTCTGTTTGGGTTCCGTTTTTCTCTGCTTTGATGTAAAAGATGATATGCCCAGACAACACTAATCATTCTTCTCCTTGATTTTTCTGGAAAAAAAATATTTATATAAATCATTTCATTTCAGGCTGTGCCAAAATTCAAGATTGTTATACTCTGTGTACATGTAATTGGACTGTTGGCTTTTGCGATCGCAGCATCTGCTATAGTTGCTATGGGAGATGATATGCATGATGAAATGTAGAGTTACCGTGATGGTGCAAACTATTTGTAATAGTGATATTATATGACTGTAAAGTAACCTCTCCTTTGTTAAAAATTGTTAAATTACTCAGACTTTAAAAGCACACGGTGTGAAGAAACATTTTTAAACTGTTGATAAATTGTCATTACAATGGTAGTAAATTTGTAATGAAATTTATTGTTACATTAATATATTGTTTCATGTTACATTTATATTTTTTCAACAAAAGTGTCCTTATTGGTAGATCCTGCAGTATTTTTAAGAACTGCTAAATTTTCATGATATGTTTTAAGTTTATTAGGCTTATTTTCACAAAGCTGCAGTGCAATTAAGCAGAGTATAGACAAAAAACTCTGTCCTGATTTTATATGATATGTTTTAGATTCAGAAGATGAAAATGTGTTAACAAATACCATTTTATAGAATCTAATGATCTGCACTAGGCATTTACACTTTGCATTGGACTTACTTGATACAAATTAGTTGACTATATTTTTTTTATCTGAGATCTTTTCTCTTAAGTTTGTCATAAGATAAAGCATGCTCACCCATATTCTTATATTTTTGTTGGCGAGGGCAAATAAAGCGAGATACTTGAATATGTTATATTTTGCTTCATGATAAACCAAATACAAACACATTGAATAAACTTATGATCATTGTTATTTTTTGACTAACCAACATAGAAGGAATGTTTATATTTAATATATTTTAAAATGAATACATAGACATTAATTAGATTTTAATTTAATGAATATTTTTTTGTGAAAATGATTAATTTGAATGATTGACTAAATGGACTTTTTTTATCACATTTTACTATATTTGGATGATATAGTAATTTTGAGCCTTTAAAATAACTCTTTTTTTAATGAATTGTTCATGAGAAATTTGTATTGTTTTGTAAATAGGTATTTTTCTATCCTTCATTGTACATATTTTAATCATGCTTCTACAACGATACATCTATATAAATCCATCGACATAATTGACGTGTAATTCATGTGTTCAAAATCTTATTTTACACAGTCCGTGTATACTGTTTAATTGTTGTTGAAAAAAGTTTTCACATAGAATTATGTTATGAATATGGTGTAACTCTCCAGGAACGATGGTTAAGAAACTACCCGCCTATGTGACTGAAATACTGTTGAGAGATGGCGTAAAATGAACAAACAAACAAATGTTATGAATATTAATTCTATATTAGTTTTCCTATTGACTTTTTGAAAAAAATTTAATCATTATTATGAAAACAATAGGAAACGTTCTCGATTGGAAAAAGATGTGTGTCCTTAAAATGTGGCATGTAAGTTTAAACTATATAAATGACTGACAAATTTCTGGTTAAAATACAAATCACAACTTGTGATTGATTGCAAAATATTTTATCTTTTAGTTGACTGTTATAACAGCTCAATTTGTTTATATATGATATTAACCTTTATATCCGTTGAGTTTTACAGAATTGAAGCAACTATATTTAAATTTTAACGATTTTAAGATTTTTTCATTGATTTTCCAGAATTTAAGTTTCTAGCTATACAAGTACAAGATCATATAAGTCCATCTCATGTTTGCGAGCTCTTACATTGTTAACTATTTCTCTTTATTTAGAATTAGATTTTATAGATAGTTTGATAGAGTTATATTGTTTATTGTTTTCATTTTATATACAAATAAATATAAGGAAGATTGCAAAAATTAGAGATATGTTTATCTAATATGAGTAAATCTTAGATGTAGCATTGATTAGGAGTTGGTTTAAATCTAAGTACATTTGTGTATTAATATATAACACTTACAATTTAATTGTGAACTTTTGTTCACAAGAGGGAAAAACAAAAATTAGGTTAAAGCTTTGTTTTTGATACATTGAATTGTTTTACTCATTATACCAGACTTGTCTATTTTATTCATAAAACCATATTTTAAGCACTTTCTTTCAAACTTTTATCTTAAATGTAAAGTTTTACATCAGTTTTTTTTTTTAGTTTTTATATTTGTATACATTTTCTGTTACCTGTGATTAAATGACCTTTTCAAGATTAAATGGTAGTTTTTTTGTATATAGTGTTTGTTGATTATTAGACAAACAACAGAAGAGACACAAGACAAAAACTTAATTGCGGTGCATAGGAATTCAACAAAAAGGTGAGATCTATTGAAATTTGAAAACCTTGAAAACAGTGGACAAATATAGAACTATGTGTATAATAATTGTTCTTTGTAAACAAGCAAATAAGTTGAATTGATATATATGGTTGAATGATACAAAGTGTGCAAACGTTTTGACTAAAGCTTCTTAGTATTAAGAACCTCATAGTATTATTGTGCTACAAAACAAAATCATCCGCAGTGCCAGGTAGAAAGACAACCTTTTCAAAATATAAGGACACTAGGACATTATTTTGACATTATTTAGTGTAATTTAATCATTCATTTCAATATAATAGAAGAATTTTATTCAGTCTAAGGATTCAAGTATAATAAAAGCATCTTAATGCTCAAATTATCAAATAAATGGAATCCAGTTTGACCAGGCATAAGCATGATTTTAATACTAACTTTAATGTACGAGTATAATGCTGATGGTGAGATATGTACACTTTACAAATTCAAGTCATTCCAATTTTAAATGTGTATATCTCCTGGATGCCATGCTATTTGTACATAAAGTTAAACCACCACTTTCTATTGTTACGATGTCGCTGAAAACGGGCTTTTTTCACTTGCAATACAGAATTCTGGCATCGGAAGCATTAATCACAACAAAATAGCATAAGAATTGCATACTCGGTTTGATTGAGTCTGTACATGAGGGATAATGAATAAGTGCAACATCCCTCACGCCCCCTAGAAACCCCTTACATAAAATTAAGAAGAAAAAAGAAATCGCTGAAATATGATTCGAACCTACCAGTTTAAAATATAATGTTGAAACCACCTTCCAATCTGTAAGTTAAAACTCGTGTTCTACGAACCTTTTGGATTCTCCTTGTGAATTCCTTTAACATTGGCCTCAGTTTTTCTAAAGTTCATATAACTAACATTTACCTCAATCTGTCTTTAGTTTTCCTTAATTTCCTACAACTAATATTCACCGTATCTTTCTTGAGTTCCTATAGCAAAAATCGACCTCAGTCAAACTGAATTTTTTACAGCTAGTATTCAGCTACCATTGAATCCCAACTGCTTCAGCTCTGAAAACTAACATTAACCTCAGTCTTTCGCGAATCTAATAGTTAACATTTACATTTTCAAGCTTTTTATAGCTAACATTCTTGAAATCCCCTTTCAAAATTCAATTTTATTTAGTTCCGCCCATTGTTTTTCTCGTTTTGGGCACACGCATTCTTTTACTTAGGGGCCATTCACCTCTTTTCATGGAATGGCACTACTGTTTTACATTGAAGGTTCCATGAAAACTGCCATATGAATACATCTCGGATGTTTCTAAATTAAAATTTCACCATTTCGTGTCTGAATGTTTAACTCTGCTTAAGCCGGTGCTAGGGGGCACCGACAGTTGCATTTTCAAGTACCGTCCATCAAACCGACTCTTCAACAATTTCAGGTTTGCCGTGATGTGCTTGTTTTTCTCTATTTTTTTGAATTTTCAAAACTAACATTCGCCTCAATCATTGTCAAAAAAAGTTTTACAGCTTACATTGAATTGGACCTTCATCTAGTTATAAAATCATATTATAGGAAATCAATGTTGGCATATGGGCAATGATAAATATTGTTCAAAGCATATCTTCTATCATAGACTATGGAGCGATTTAAGAATTGCATGTTTTTGAAATACAAATGTTCATCCCCAGGTGATGTAGTGTTGTTTTCATGAACCAGGCCTCGAAGGTCCAACATAGAAGTCAGAGGAAAACTTTGTCATAGCAAAACATCTACATGCATTTAGGAATGCCTATATAATGTTTATACATACCAAATTTAATGAGGCTGTGTGTTGATTGTAACAGTTAAGTCCCTTTGGCAAAGGTCAAGGTCATAGGTCAGATGGTAATATGAAAATACGTGTACAGACAATCGTATAGTTTGGATAGCAAGTTTGGAAATATTCACAATCATGAGACTGATCGAATGTTTCTAGCATAATCCAGGGTAATATAAACAAGAGTACCAGATATGATAATATGAAGCATATCTTCTTTATGCATGCCTTGGTTTAAGTATAACCTAATACATATTTGATATGCGATGTAGTGTAGCACACATAAGCAAGGTCTGTAGGTCAAAAGCCAATCACACTTGGAGGTCAGAAAAAATGCTTGTCTAGAGCAAAACGTCTACATTCATTGAAGGATTTTAATATATCCTGGTACAAATGTTTACTATTGTGAATTGGAATGTTGCATGCAAAATTCGGGTTCCTGTTGCTAAGGTTAAGGTCACATGAAAAATTTGAAAATGTATGTACAGGGTATTTAGTCGATCTAATGTAAATTCATCATCATGAGACTTAGCTTTTTGTGACAGACATAGTTTGTGACATTGGTACTTTTGTGAAGGATAACATTGACCTCAGTCTTTCTCATGAGATCTGATGATCAGTATTGATCATTTGAATCCTAGGATTTGTCACAACAATGAGGACTGAGAAGGTTTACCATTTAGAATGGGAAAGATTTTAACAAAACCACCTATTATTAGATTAAATACAAACTATTTTTAAGTTTACTGTACATACTGTTCAAGTTACAATACCTATAGGTAATAATGATATAGATGTAATTATATATTATGACACAAGTGTATCGATATAATATTGTCGGAAGAAATATGTTTAAGATGGTATAGTAAAGGTTTATTTGACATTTATAAATGTACATAACAGACGGCGGGGATGTTTGGTGAAGTGAAATATTTTTCAGCACACCCTGAATTTTTCTATATTATGCAAAGGTTTTGTTGTAAATATGTTGTGATGGTAGTATAACAAGACAACAAACATTAATATTTCCAATCCATATTTTTTTCAAGGAAAAAATTAATAATTAATGTTTACCTTATCACAAATGTATACACATGTTATAAGTATGTTCATTGGGCTCTTTTAGAGGTTTAACTGCTCCATTTTATCTAAGCTTGCATGGTGCTGCTTTATCTTAAACTAAATCTTTAAAACTTTTTATTGCCATAATTTTCATATTTTATGCCATATTTACAATACTTTAAACCTAATTTGCAATATAATGCATATTTTTATGCCATAGTTGTAATATTAAAAACTTGAACTGCAATATCTTTCATATTTTATGCCATATTTATAATACTTTAAACCTATATTGCAGTATTTTGCATATTTTATGCCATATTTATTATATACCTAAAACCTTAATTGCAATATCTTACATTTTATGCCATTATTATGACTGACTTAAAAACGTTAATTTTTATATTGTATTTATACTTTATTTTTATTAACTAAAATTTAGTTATAACTTAATACAGCTATACGGTAACTGGCAAAAATATTAAAATATCAGGCAAAAAATGTCCAGTCTCGATGTTGTCATAATATTATGACACGGATTATGACCACTTTGATTTGATCATAACATCCATTTTAGAAAAATAGTAAAGTTTAAAGATTAAGATATTCAGAATATCAAAGTACTGAGTTTTCAAATATCCTGTTAAATTTTTGACATTATATACGTTATGTACATTTTTAGTCCCCTACCGGTTTACCGGAGGGGACTTTAGGTTTACCCTTCGTCCGTCCGTCTGTCTGTCTGTCAGTCTGTCAGTCCGTCCGTCCACAAAACTTGATCCCGCTATAAATTGAAAAGTACTGAAAATATTTTTATGAAACTTGATATATGGATAGATGGCAGTATGGAAATTATGCACGTCTTTTTCTTTTCTTCCTATGTTGAAAATTCTGGTTGCTATAGCAACAAATATGCTGAAAATATGGCAAATTTTACACATAAACTGGATCCAGTGATAACGCAAAAAGTACTGGAAATATTTTTATGAATTTTGAAATATGGGTAGATTATGCACGTCTTTTTCTTTTCTTCCTATGTTGAAAATTCTGGTTGCTATGGTAACACATAGACTGAAAATATGGCAAATTTTACACATAAGCTGGATCCAGTGTTAACGCAAAAAGTAATAGAAATATTTTTATGAAACTTGTAATATGGGTAGATGGCAGTCTGGAGATTATGCACGTCTTTTTCTTTTCTTCCTATGTTGAAAATTCTGGTTGCCATGGCAACACATAGACTGAAAATATGGCAAATTTTACACATAAACTGAATGCAGTGATAACTCAAAAAGTACTGGAAATATTTTTATGAAACTTGACATATGGGTATAGATGGCAGTCTGGATATTATGCATGTCAAGATCTTATCTTTTCTTCCTATTTTGAAAAAATATTGGTTGCCTTGGCAACAAATAGGCTAAAAACATGGCAAATATAACAATATTTGTGATTAGTCAAAAAGAGCTGAACATTTTTATGAAATTGCATCTTTAATTCATGAGTGATCCCCTCTTTAAGAATTTTGTTTTTAAAAATGTTATATTTTGGTAACAGCTTACAGGGATGTTTCAAATATTAACTTTAGAGTGTCCTTCAGTACGTCTGTCTGTCTGTTCATAAAAACTGTTTCCTGTGATCACTTTTAAAGAAGTTTTCCAACAAATTTACTTAAAATAGAGAAAAATTGAAACATTAGTGAATGGCCAATGGCCCTTCAGAATGCTGCTGGGGATCTAACCGGTAGGGGACTTATGGATTGCTTGCAATACTATGATAATTGCTTTTTATTTATAAGGTAAAGGTCTTGTTCATTATAGTGTCACCCCTACTGAAAGGGCCAGCCAACCTTCGACCTCCCGATCCGAAGGCGGACACCTTAACCACTAGGCCAACGGTACCGGTTATATATTTTATTGTCAAATCTTTTATTATAAAATTGTTTTTATGTCATTCAGGTTCTAAAGGTGAAGCTTATGAAATGAAAGACGCAGCAGCAGATAACGCAATTGTGACCCAGGTATGTGACATATTCGTAGAATAACTTGAAAAAGTAAAACAAGATATGAGCCGTGTCATGACAAAACCAACATAATGGGTTTGCGATCAGCATGGATCCAGACCTGCCTGCGCATCCGCTCAGTCTGATCAGGATCCATGCTGTTTGCTATCAGTTTCTCTACTTGTAATAGGGTTTTTAAGCGAACATCATGGATCCTGATCAGACTGCACGGGTGCAGGCTGGTCTGGATCCATGCTGGTTGCAAACCCATTATGTTGGTTTTGTCATGACGCGGCTCAAATTTTAAAGTTTCTATCTATAGGTAAATAGCTGTTATGGAGGAAACATTTAATCATAGAATGGTTGAATTGTTACAAAGTTTAACCTTAAAATTGATTGGACAACTAAAATCATGTAAACCTTTTTAAAAACTTAAAATAGTGAATAGAATAGCTCTTGTAAATATGTTTATTTGCTACAGCTAAATGGTCAACCGGATCCGACATTTTCCAGTATAACTGGCAATACCTAGTACTACTGTTCTGCGTTCTGTAGGGTTCCGTTTTTCTCTGCTTTGATGTAAAAGATGATATGCCCAGACGACACTAAACATTCTCCTTGATTTTTCTGGAAAAAAATGTTGATGTAAATAATTTTATTTCAGGCTGTGCCAACATTCAAGATTGTTATACCCAGTGTACATGTAATTGGACTGTTGGCTTTTGCGATCGCAGCATCTGCTATAGTTGCTATGGGAGATGATATGCATGATGAAATGTAGAGTTACCGTGATGATGCAAATTATATGTAATAGTGATATTATATGACTGTAAAGTAACCTCTCCTTTGTTAAATATTGTTAAATTACTCAGACTTTAAAAGCACAAGGTGTGAAGAAATATTTTTAAACTGTTGATAAATTGTCATTACAATGGTAGTAAATTTGTAATGAAATTTGTTGTTACATTTATATTGTTTCTTGTTACATTTATATTTTTTCAACAAAAGTGTCCTTATTGGTAGATCCTGCAGTATTTTTAAGAACTGCTACATTTTCATGATATGTTTTAAGTTTATTAGGCTTATTTTCACAAAGCTGCAGTGCAATTAAGCAGAGTATAGATAAACAACTCTGTCCTGTTTTTATATGATATGTTTTAGATTCAGAAGATAACAAATACCATTTTATAGAATCTGATTATCTGCACTGCGCATGTACACTTTGCATTGGACTATCTTGATATAAATTACATGACTATATTATTTTTTTATCTATAATCTTTTCTCTTAAGTTTGTCATAAGATAAAGCATGCTCACCCATATTCTTATATTTTTGTTGGCGAGGGCAAATAAAGCCAGATACTTGAATATGTTATATTTTGCTTCATGATGAACCAAATACAAACACATTGAATAAACTAATGATCATTGTTATTTTTTGACTAACCAACATAGAAGGAATGTTTATTTGATATCTTTTAAAATGAATACATAGACATTAATTAGATTTTAATTTAATGATTTTTTTTGTGAAAATGATTAATTTGAATGATTGACTAAATGGACTTTTTTTATCACATTTTACTATATTTGGATGATATAGAAATTTTGAGCCTTTAAAATAACTCTTTTTTTTAATGAATTGTTCATGGGAAATTTGTATTGTTTTGTAAATAGGTATTTTTCTATCCTTCATTGTACATATTTTAATCATGCTTCTACAACGATACATCTATATAAATCCATCAACATAATTGACGTGTAATTCATGTGTTCAAAATCTTATTTTACACAGTCCGTGTATACTGTTTAATTGTTGTTGAAAAAAGTTTTCACATAGAATTATGTTATGAATATGGTGTAACTCTCGTTAAGAAACTACCCGCCTATGTGACTGAAATACTGTTGAGAGAAGGCGTAAAATGAAACAAACAAATGTTATGAATATTAATTTTATATCTTTTTTCCTATTGACTGTTTGAAAATAATTTAATCATTATTATGAAAACAATAGGAAACGTAAGTTCTCGATTGAAAAAAGATGTGTGTCCTTAAAATGTGAAATGTAAGTTTAAACTATATAAATGACTGACAAATTTCTGGTTTAAATACAAATCACAACTTGTGATTGATTGCAAAATATTTTACATTTTAGTTGACTATTATGACAGCTCAAGTATTTTAATAAATTTGTTTATATATGACATTAACCTTCATCTACGTTGAGTTTTCCAGAAATGAAGCAATTATATTTAAATTTTAACGATTTTAAGATTTCTTTTCATGGATTTTCGAGAATTTAAGTTTCTAGCTATACAAGTACAAGATCATATAAGTCCATCTCATGTTGGCATCCCCTCTTATGTTGTTAACTATTTCTCTTTTATTTTTTATTTAGAATTAGATTTTATAGATAGTTTGATAGAGTTATATTGTTTATTGTTTTCATTTTATATACAAATAAATATAAGGAAGATTGCAAAAATTAGAGATATGTTCATCCGATATGAGTAAATCTCAGATCTAAAGTTTTACATGTAGCATTGGTTAGGAGTTTGTTTTAAACTCAGCGTAAACATATAAAACTTACAATTTAATTGGGTACTTTTGTTCACAAGAGGGAAAAACAAAAAAATTTTTTACACATTATACCAGACTTGTCTATTTTATTCATAAAACCATATTTTAAGCACTTTCTTTCAAACTTTTATCTTAAATGTAAAGTTTTACATCAGATTTTCTTTTTAGTTTTTATATTTGTATACATTTTCTGTTACCTGTGATTAAATGACCTTTTCAAGATTAAATGGTAGTTTTTTGTATATAGTGTTTGTTGATTATTAGACAAACAACTGAAGAGACACAAGACAAAATCTTAGTTGTGGTGCAATAGAAATTCAACAAATGGGTAATATCTGTTGAAACTTGAAAACCTTGAAAACAGTATATAGAACTATGTGTATAATCATTGTTCTTTGTAAACCAGGAAATTAGTTGAATTGATATATCGTGGAATGATACAAAGTGTGCAAATGTCTTGTTCAAAACTTCTTAGTATTTAGAACCTCGGAGTATAGTACAAAATCATGAGCAGTGCCAAGTAAAAAGACAACCTTTGAACTGAGGTAATCTTTTGTTATTATTGAATTTGACTTGGTCCAAGGATTCAAGCGTAATGAAAGCATGTAAATGCTCATTTTATTACATTAATGGAATCCAATTTGACCAGGAACAAGCATAATTTTAATATAAACTTTAATATAAACACTGATATACGAGGAGTTAGTAATGCTGATTGTGAGATATGTACATTTTACAAATTTACAGTGTTTTCCGATTTTAAATGTGTATATCTCCTAGAACGAAAATTGAAGTGGCATGATATTTTGTGCATAAAGTTAAACCATCATTTGTTTTGTTGTTACCATGTTTAAAAATAAACTATTGGGTTTATAGCTTTCACAACATTGCGGCTGAAAACGTGTTTTTGCACGTGCAATACAGGCACCCCTGACGTCCAAGAAAATCCTGTAACTGAAGTACACACTGCACTTTTTCTTTGTTTATAAAGAATTTATTTTAGTTCGATTGTGTAGGAAGCTATAAGCTTATAGACACACATTCAAATACGTTCCTTGAACCTACCAGTACAGAGGAATAAGTGTAAAGTCTCTTGCTCTAGGAGACGACGTGCCCCTAAAGGGTAACCAATGCAGCTAGCAATCATTTACTTTTCAGACACATTCACTACTACGCCATACTGCACATTTTCTTTGTGAAATCTGTTTACTTGTGATTTTAATTTGATGCCACGTACAAAAACTTAAGTAGATTCTATAATAAATTTCAGAGGACACTCATTTCAAAATACTGAAGTTTTAAGTTCATGTCTCCATTTCTTCTTCACTTTACCCTGTAGAAAAAATCATTATGAAAATTTTCAAAAGACAATAGCTCCAAGGTTTTGCGAAAGAATTCTCGGGTACAGAACTTCTCAATGAGATGTTACCACATACGAAGTTTTATGTCCCTCTGAAACACTTTAAGATTGACGTGGGACAGTTCGAAAGACAGATACACGGGATAACATCTAATGGTTTCTGAGCGTTCTGTCTACATTATCTATATTATTTATATAAACCATTATGAAAGAAGAACAAAACCACATAAACTGTCAGTTTAAGTGGGATTTTTCTATTCTTAATGTTGCAAAATAAGCCCAGCCCAAAATGTTTGCATGTCAGAACGACCACACTCCTACGTCTACAAGGGAGATAATAAGAGGGGGTAAATCTGCAGTGCATATACCTGCATTATGGAGTTATCTCTCTTATAACTCCATTTAAAATATTTATTCGTTATTTGTTTAAAAAACTTAATGTTGTTTGACCGCAAGGGGAAATATGACATGTTGTTGCCTATTAAAACTCAGCTTAAATAAAGAGACTGTCTTAATCAAACGGTATTGATTGAAGAAATGTTGTTACGTATTTAAGAATCAAATAAATTCAATTGTTGGAACATTAGGGAATTGGTTTTATTAGAGAGCATGCTAATTTATTTCTAAGTTCAGATGAAAGAGTGCTTCTTCTCAGTATTAAATGGCAGGACATGAACCTGGTAAAATAAATACTTATATAATTGTAAAAGGAAGTGGTACATGTTACAAAGGAACAGTTTCCCTATTCTAAAACACAGAATTCATTTGTGAGCCTATTTTATATATACGAATTCATTACTCCATTGTTTCACAACTATACAATTTTAGTTCAAAGATACAAAAGTTGAATATCTATATGCTTACATATTAATTATAGTTAAAAAAGTAATTTCAGTTTCAGCTATGTGAACACGTCTTCGGGCGTTCCATAAGTTCTTTGTTAAATATTTCAACATAACCTTGTAATTCTGCTTATTAAGAGATAGTTTTAGTGGGCGGAAACGAAGTGTTTATTAACCTTTGCTGCTGGAATCAAACCGTGGACATCCGCAAAAATGATATCAATCATGCCCCTTGGTTCTTGAGTCAATATTTGCCCCGCCACGGGAGCACTTGATGTATTTAGACTTCTATAGAAAAATACATAAAGTTTATGTCAAGGACATACTGTGTGAAACTACAATGCCAAGATTTAACGTGTTTCGATGAAGCATTGCCCTCCACACAACTGATATCAATCAGGTCCCTGATGTCAATATTGGCTGAGTTACGACCCTTTGATAATTTCTATTGTTAAAGTTTATTCTGACTCCTCTTATACCAGTTATGCAATTTCAAAGAGACTTCACATACTTGATTTGAAGCTCAAGTACTTGCGCATATTACACGGGTTTTCCGGTTGAATGATTTTTGGCTGAGTTATAGCCTTAGAATAAAAAATGTTTTTTAGGCCGGTTAATGATTTTTGTGCTTTTGCTGCACAGAATCTGCAACATGCAATGTGCCATCATCAGGTGACACGTCTGATCACTGATCGGTCTTGTTATAATATTTGAATTCTGCTTATCATTGACTGATTTGATTAATACTTGATATAACCTACATCCTGGATTAAATTTGTCAAGTTGAGCAATTCGTGCTCTTAAAATGACATTGAGAGTCTAATTATTGTATTTCATAAATGGATATTATAATTACTTGGACAAAATAATACACAAAACAATGACGATGAAATTTAAATGCCTTGATCTCCAATGTCAAATATTTATATTTAATATTTATTTAAATTCTGGAGAACTTTGTAATCTATGTAGAGACATAACTAATGTTTAGGCACAACGACATGTTGAATAGCATTATTATACATTATAAATCCAAATATTAGGGAATTCAAATACGACCCTTAGGTAAACCTTCCATCAATGTTTGGTAATTAGAAAACGTCAAGTGTTACCCTTTTTGGTGTGACTTTTAGGGAAACAATCTTTTTTTGCGAGGGTACTTATCACATTCAGTGATGGTTCTAGTTTCTTCTACAATATTATGCAAGGAATAGGTTCAATATCAAAATGTCTGTGTTATTGATGTATTTTAGCCTTATTGTTGACATATACAAAATTTGTCTACGCATGTGTCTGTACATTTCGTTTCGTTGGTGCGACATAAAATCCAATCAGAAAAAAACGTGCAAATATCTTCAATAGATAACACAGGCGTGTTAACATAGATATATTAAATAAAATGCAAATTGTTTTGAAAGAAGATATTAAATCTTTCTTAAATCTTGTTTTCATCCACAATGAAATCATTCACTCGGAATTGATTTCGAAAGCAGAGACATTATCAGAAACCATTGAGAGAAATATTACAGTTGACACAACAATGTACTGTAAATATCTAGTTCTTGTTAATATGCAGAGATGTGAGTTCTTTGAAAAATTGATCCTTGGTTTGACAAAATAAATATAAACAACAAAATTATACTAATTTGATGCTAACTTTAATGTAAAACAATATCAAGGAACATTACAATCTTCTTATTTGATATTTTCACTGTACAGACAGAAATACATTGGTAATGCTAAAAATATTAATGAATAAAGCAATGCAGGAGTATGATTTTATTTCCATGTGGTCGAATGATATATTGCTTTCATAACCAACAACACTGGATGTTACTTATATCATAGTTTATATTCATTGAAGAACAAGTTTTTTTTTATTTATATCTTACTCGAGGGAATCGTTGTTTTGAAACGTTTTAATTATACAAATTAAACAGAAGATATATTGAGATAACTTGATACGAAGCTACAGGTACTAGTATAATTACAAACAGTTCCGTTTGGCTCGTGTTTCTGGTGATAGCATAATGTGTTCTTGCTTTACGTAGAATCCTC